TATTTGACAAAATATTCTCATCTCCATTAACCCATGAGGGCTTGGCTAAGCCTGGTTCACTGTCAGGTTTGCTCTCCTCAAGCAAACCTTACTCTTCCCAGCAAACCCTTGTGACTGCAGGATCCAAAGAGACCACCCCTTTCCTATCCTCATTGGGCAGAAACCTTCCTCCGTGTCCGATGCTCCCAAGCACTCTGGAGTTTTCCCACTGCACTGTGCTCATTTCCAAGCTCCGCTTGGAAATGCCCTTTTTTAATCTCAACCCTATTTTCCCCTGCACCAGAGCAACAGAAGCCAGCACAACCCGGCAGCTTTGCTGGCACAGCTCCGGGAAAGCTGTGAATTCATCTTTCCGGGGAACTACAGCTCCCAGAAGACAGCTCGTCTGCTGACACTGAGCTTCCTCAGCGCGAGGGAGCCCTTATGGGAAGGATTTCAGGAGGAAGGACTCCGCTACATGGCCCTGAGCAATCTCTGCGCTATTTCGCGTGACTCAGCACAGTGCTCAGTCCTTAACGAGCATTACTGCCCCTAATTAAAAGCAGTTCTTTTCCAGGCTCTTGCTGAGTGCTGCCCGGTGAAGCCGCGGATAGCGGCACCGCCCCAGCATCGCCCTGTGCGCGGTGCCCTGATCTCCTGGAGTCATCTCTGGCTGTTGAGATTGGAAGGCAGGGGCGTTCCCTTGATGGCATCTTTGCAAAGCCCTGTTTCCAAAAGCCTCCTGCAAATCAGCCATCAGAATACATCCTGGCCGGGATCCCAGGTCCCAGCCTGGCACATGCAGAGCATAAAGTGTGGGATTGGCTTCCAGCAAACCAAAGGAATTGAGTAGTGAGCAGCGTTGTCTCTCCAATCCTTTAAGAATGCAGTGGGATTTGGGTTCCAAGAGTGAAAAATCAATCTGGTGTTTCAAGACTGCCACGTTTTCCCTGTCTGAGGCTGATTCTTGTGCTTGAATTCTAGAGAAGCAAATTTTGGTTGCTGAATTTGCCCCTCAAACCACACAGACCTTTGATACCTCTTCCCTGAAAAGCTGCAATTAGCTAGCTGCTGTATCTGGCCATGCCCTTCCACTTCCTCCCAGCTTGTTCTTCAAAAGCCTGCTGGAATCAGGTTTGCACCAGAAGTGATAGAAAAGAGAGAGAGGAGATAATAAAAGTAAGAAAAAAGCAAAGCCACCCCATCAAAATATTTTTGGAAATTTGAAATAACAACACACTGTTTTTATTTTTGTTTTTGTTTCCCAGCTATTTGCAAGGAAGTTCTTTCGCTCTGCCTTTAAAACAAAACCCAGCAGATGAACTTGTATGGGGGGGGCGGAAAGGAGAGGCCACAAACTGCCCTCGCTTTGGTGTTTGGGTTCAGCACTGGGTGACGTGTGGAGCAGGAAGCACTGCTGTGAGCCACAGCAAGCGATGCTGGGCAGCTGGGAGCTGTGCCTCCCATGCCTGCTTCCCCCACTGAAGGCCAGCAGACCCAGGAGCAGCCACGGCCACTGGGAGACACCACGGATTTGGGAAGAAGTGTCTTTTTGACCAACGCAAAAAGTACAAGTAAGTCCTTTGCATAGCAATCTGCCTGGAAAGACACAGGTATGAATGGCATGACTCAAAGCAAATAGCTGCCTTTGCTGTCCCAGCTCCAAAACCTTGCTCAGCTGGAAGGTGCAGCCCTGTGTCACGAGTTGCCTCCGACCCAAAAGCACAGCAGCATGCCTTGCTCATTGATGTGTGCAGGGGGCTGTGCCCTGCACAGCTGGACTGCTGGGCAACACAGTGTGGCTCAGGTGTGTGTTCCTTCCATGCACAGAAGGCAAAACAGAGGGATCTGGCACCCCACGTCTGCTTTTGTTTGGAGGTTTAATGACTGATACCCATGAGGCTGTATGGAACTGGCTGTTCTGTTTGCATTCTTCATATATATACGTATTTAATAATTTTTAAGAAGCTGTGATGGGACACTGCTTGCCAGCTGAGGCAGCACAAAATTCTGGTGAAGTGCAAAAGTGCTGACTGCTTTTCCTTCAACATCTTCCTCCATTAACAGAGATCCTGCTGGATTAGCCGGGTAAATAGGCGTTGCTCCACCCTTTGGTAAATACCTGGCAGCTCAGCACTGCACTCCTGGGCTTCAGATAAACACCGATGTCCAGGTATTTCCTTGAAAAAGACAACTCTGTGCTGTCGTGTCCTGTGGGTTCCCTTGCTGAGCATGCTGCAGTCTTCCCAGCATTCTGGGTGGAACTGCAGGGAGGTGGAAATGCCCTCCTGCTGTCTGTGCTGCTGACACCGTGGTGAGTATGAACAGAACAACTGCATGCACTCTGCTGGGTGTGTGTGTGGCCTTTGTGCTTCTCCAGTTGTTTTCTTTTTCTCCTTTTCTTCCTTCTTTTCACTTTTCATTCTGTGAAAAAGCCTCTTTTACTCAAACTATACACAATGGCTGGGGCTCTCCAAAAAGAGGAAAAAGAGGAATAGGGAGTGATGCAACTGTTTTTAGTGAAGTGCTTGAGCAAACTGGAAGCAGTGTGCTGGCAAACTGGGGCTGATGTCTGCTTTATCTTGCATTTAAAACTTTGGAATGGCAACACACTGCACTTGGCCTTTTTGCTTGTGTGCTTGCCAAAGGGTAAAATAAATTCTTTGAGCCTAGCTTGATGCTTCCTCACAGATTTTCAGTACAGCTGAAAGAAAACAACATCTGTGCAGTTTGTTCCTGTTGGAGGTGGCATCCACCCCAGCCTGGGTTTTCCTCCCCCCTTGCTCTTTGGAGCAGTGGTTGCTTTGCAGCATGGGAGCAGCCTGCTGCTGCTGCTGGAGGATTTCTGCTCAGCTCAGAGCCTGTGCCACTGTGCCTCAGGACTGCTCTGCTAAAGGGGATGGAGCTGCACGGTGGCTCTCGGCGACACTTCTGTGGGCTTGGTGCTGCAGCAGGGCCACGGTTGGAGCATCCCCGGAGCCCCTGCCCTTTCTCACATCCTAGTGAGGGTCTGGATCAGGCCTGCTGTGGGCTTTACGTATGGAACAGAGGACACGGGTTTCAGAATGTTCTAACTCAATGGGAGTGCACTCAGAGCAAAGTCTGAGCGCTGCCTGCTGCTCAGCACCAGGCCCATCTGCCATCACCACACACACCCACAGTGAGTCACCCTGAGCTGGGGCTGCTGGGGAGACACTACAACAAAACCTGAGCTGGAACGTCCCCAGGAATCCCGGTGCAAGTATGTAGATAGAAAGTGCAACAGGGCAGTGTTCCAACAAGAAAATTTGGATCTGGAAAGTTTTGAAACAGGGTGGGGATTATAAAAAAAAAAAAAAGGAACAAAAGAAAAGCAGCTGCCTTGCTCGTGGCTGTGCCTGGGCAGCGCTGCGTGCGAATTCGGAGCATCTGAGATGGGAAGTGACATCTGCTTTGTCTGACCACCTCCCCACCAAGCGTGGTTGCCATTTCTTAGTATGAATGCTGGACTCCTGGTCATCCATTCTGCCCTGCTGTGTAAAGCAAGCTGCAGGGTTTGTAGTCTCTTTGAGCAAGTGTAGCTTTTGGGAGGAAAAACCCCAGTCTTTAATGAAGGTATTGTCAGTGGGATGATTCCAGCTCACCTTTGGCAGCTGGATGGGTCTGGATCATCTGATGCACTCTGACACTCAGCCCTGTCCTGATAACAGCCGGAGGGCTCAGGGGATGCCCACGTGCAAGCAGTGTTTTTTTGCATATGCTTCATTAAAGCAGAGGAAAAAGAAATGAATGGGGAACCGTGGGCAGGGCGTGCTCCAGAGAGAGCAGCGCATACACCGGGTCACTGTTACGCAAGGAAAGGGAGAGATAAGCCTGATAAAATCAACTGAAATGATGCAACGACTCGCACACTTCCTATCCTTTCTTTGAAACCTACTTTACAAACAAAAGTCTGGGGAAAAAGAAGCGGGAACTTAACTCAGAAACTCAGAAACTCGTTGGATTTACTAACCCAGGCAGGAATGATTCACGGTGCAGGCGTGTGAGCAGCACGACCTCTGAGCAGGGCAGGCACAGAAACTGTGCGAAAACTGGAAAAAACGCTTGCAGTGATTTTCTTTACAACACACCCGTCTGGACACAAAATGAGCAAAGCACTGCCCCTGGCAGAGGCATGGCCTCACCGGGCAGAGTGGGGCGGGTGGTGGATGTGCTGCTGTGGGCTGAGCCACAGGAACTGCCTTGGCCTTTTCAGAAAGAAAAACACAGCAGTGCTTACCCATGCCTGTCACAGGGCAGACTTGCTCCTTTCCGTGGCTTGCTGCTGCAAGTACACTTTATCCCAGACAAAGGCCTCTTCTCAGGAGTTCTGAATGGTTGTTCTGAACTATTGACAAGCTTGGAGTTATCAAAACAGGCTCTTCTTTCTTCTTCTGTAAGTATAATAAATAGAAATGTACTATGATAAAGACTCAATGGAATATAATATGTTGTTACATGAGGAAATGTGTATAATTTTGTTCCCAGACAACAGCAACAAAGGGATGCTGCAGGGAACTCCTCGCAGTGATGGGGTCTGAGCAGAGAGAGGAAATTAGGTCCTGTGTCTGGGAGAGGCAGAGGCTTTGTGAATGGGGAGCATGTCTGAAAGGTGCTGGTTTTGGCCTAATTGTGCTTGAATAATTGTACAGACTAACACTGCAGCTGAAGAGGGCACTAGGGGTCACCACTGCCTTATCTGTGTCATCTCAAATCAGGACTAAGATAAATGACGCAAAAGAAAGCAAATCCAGGCTATGCTTTTTTCCTCTTTCTTTCTCCCTTTCTTAGCTTTCTTAGCTTTCCTTCCCTTCCTTCCTTCCCTTCCTTCCTTCCTTCCTTCCTTCCTTCCTTCCTTCCTTCCTTCCTTCCTTCCTTCCTTCCTTTTCCTTTTCCTTTTCCTTTTCCTTTTCCTTTTCCTTTTCCTTTTCCTTTTTCCCATGGGCTGGACAGCTTGCATTTTACTTCCTTTTTCTCTTTTTCTCTGCTCTGGGCTGCCTGCCTTCTGTCAGTCAGCAACTTGAAGGATGCACCCAGGAAGGATGCTCCAGGAGCAGAGGAGCTGCACGCAAACCCCTTCTGTGCAGCTCCCACTCACTCAGAGCAAGGGTTGGGCAGACGGCCTGTGCCAAGTGAGGCAGAGTCACATCGCGGCCTTGGCGTGTTTCTGCAAGAACTGATTGCTGCAATGAATGGCACCCTTGTTGTCAAGAGAGCTCCTCCTGACACATTTTGCTCTGCCCCATCAGTAATCTCATGTGTGGAGCTCTTTGTCCCCTGCTGTCCCACCACAGATAAGGATCCCCAGTTCTCACACAGCCGCCTCTCATGTCTGCGCCAGGAGGGGGATCTGTGCCTGGGCTGTGAGCAGAAATGCAAATCCTCTTTTCTGATGTCTGGAAGTAACCAGCGGTGTGGGCTGACTGTATTGTCTGAGTTTTGGAATCGTGCTTTTTAAGGCAGGATGCAAGGTGTGTGGGGAGAAAGGCTGATTTTACCGAAGCAAGGGATGTGTCTGGATGGTGCCCTGGGATCGGATGGGTGTGTATGGCACACAAGAGAACACAGGCACAGATATACGTTCTTGGGCCAGCACTGAGATGATGGAGCTACCTGGAGAACGTTATTTTGATGGCAGGTTCTGGAGAAATGTGGGCTGGCCCAGCGCTTATGGGCCCAAGTGATGGCACCAGCAAAGCCAGGTTAATGTCAGCACAGGTACACGTGTTCTGTGGTCGTGCCTTCATCCAAAGTGGGGGAGTTCTCTGGCTCCCTATTTTAGGGTTTTATGTAACGCCCAGCTTATATAAGCCTTTGTCTGTTAACAAAACAGGTGGAGCATATCTTGCGTAGATTTGTCGCTGAAGAAACACTCGTTACTTAACTCTTACTCAAGTGCTCATTATATACTCTAAGAATATTTGTTAGTTCCTTTCTAGCTGCCAATAATAACGTACCTCCTTGACAACCTGCTATGGATGAACGATAAAACATGTAATTCACCCATTTAATGAACTACATCTCAGAATACATTAGAAACAATGCTATTGATGTAGACAAGGGAAAACCAAGGCATCCCCAAACCATGGCCTCGGGCTGCATCTTGCTTGCCTTTGGGCAGGGGACAGTTTGGGGGTGCTGGTAGGGGAAGAAGGATGGTTTGGCCTCACAGGGAGTGGAGGGGCAGCCTGAGATCCTGGGCTGGAGAGGACTGTGAAAATTGTTTTTGAATGAACTGGCTGAGCTCGCTCAAACCTGCCATTCCTGCTACTGCTCAGCTTTAAATAGCAAGCCAGCGCACATCTCCACTTAGCACCATATGAGCCGGTTTGCATTCTCCTTCCCCCGGATGCTGTTGGCTCACTGATGCGCCTGGCATTGCTCGGAGCTCAGAGCAGCGCTGCACAGCACAGCAGCTCCAGGCCTGGCCCTGCGGCCACATGAGGGCATCCCGGTACCCGCACGGCCCTGCACAGCCCCAGAGCAAGTTGGAGAGTTTTTTCCGTTTTCATTCATTCTTCTCCCTTGAGAGGAAAAAAAATATACCCAAACAGCGAGAGCTTTGTTTTTGTTTCCATGGGAATTCTGTGAGAAGGGAAGGTGTGAAAGCAAACTGAAATATCCTGGCCAAGCACGATCATTCTCAGCGCCTGGGCAGCCATGGAGTCATCTGACAGCAACCCAACCCGGGGGTCCGCTGTCCCCTGGCCGGGATGGGGCTGTGGGAGCTGCAGTGCCTCGGGGAGAGCCACAGTGCAGGACTTGGCCATGATGAGACATGACTACAGCTCCCAGGAGGCAGCATGGCACGGCAGCACGGTGCCTGACTTCCTCTCCTGCCTCTTCCTCCCAGGGGGTGGCAGCCGCTTCCCTGGGAGGATATGGGAGGAGGGAAACAGAGCGGAGGAGAACTGCTCTCCCCGCTGCAAGAACGCTGTCTGTGAGGCCTGCAGGAGCTGATGGCAGCTTTCTCCCACCACGTGCTGCTTGCCTGTCGCTGAGAGCAAGCAGCTGTTGGCACGGCTCTGGGTGCTCTGCTGGCCTCTGCTCCTCCCCTCTCTTCTGTGCTTGGCCACCACAGTGCCCATGGGTGAGACCAGAGCACAGGGCTTTGTGTAAAAGAAACGAATCAATAAAATCTCCATTTCTTTTCCTTCAGCTGGAGGGCTGTGTTTGCTATGCAGCAGCACGGGCTGCCAACAGTGCCCAAAAAGCTCTTCTGCAGATGTCTCTGTGTACATTATGCATCCCGACTCCTTCTTCGGTGTTTCCTTCTTTTCTTAAAGAGAAGGAAAAACGTGACAAAATAGCAGCTAAAAAAATATAGTAATATTAAAAATAACCATGACATTGTCCCTAGCATTCTAACCCTGGTTTTCCAGAGTCCAGCTACATGACTCCCTGTGTGACACCACGCCGTGTACTCACCTTGGATAAGCATCCTTATGACAGTGGGAAGTGCCCTTGGAGAGCTGCACAGACGGTTCTGGAGGCCAAAAGTCAGTAAGAGCAGAGAACAAAGGAACCCCCAGCTCCGCCTGCCCTGCAGTCACCCAGCAGCACTGTGTTTCTTCAGTGCTGGAGGTATTTGACAAGGTATGTGCAACTCATCTGCTTTGTGCATTGCCTCTGGGTCAGGGAAGGCGATGGGAATGGTGCTCGGGATGGGGGGAAACGTGGTACATAGATTCCATAGTGCTCATGAAGAGGTTTGTAAGTAAGCCTAAGGTAAATATGCATTAACTAAGTTACTGTTCATGAATTCATTAAGATCCCCCAGAACTCAGCTAGCCAGATGTGGGCATGCTGTGTGCTGTCCCACCAGGGGTGGGAGCGGGCATGGTCCAGGCAGCTGTGGGGTCAGCAAGGGAGCCTGAGGAGGTGGCAGAGATGGGGCATCCCCTCCAGGCAGTGCCCTGAGGAGTGCTCCCTCATCTGCCCTCCAACACTTCCCACCCCATGTTGCCATGAGCAGTGTGAGGTAGTGTGTTCAGGCTTTGCCTGTGCTTTAGAACAAGATGGGGATGTAAGTACCACAGGGTGACTTTCCATCGTTTCCATTTCTCCTGTTCTTTGCATCAGAGTTCCCTCTGCTCGTCTCCAATGCTTTCCTGATGCTGAGTGCTACAGATGCCCATGCTATCCCCTCGCCTGATGCTACCTACATTCACAGCTCCCCATGATGCTGAACGGAGCAGTGTTGGAGCTCAGCACCGACAGGAGCAATGCTGTTGCAATGCTGCTGGGAACTCAGCTCAGATTGGCCAATCTGATTTTAGGCGTGAAGGGCATCACCCAGCTGTTCTCAGTCAGCCACCAGTCAGCCAAGACAGGGGAAACCCACTTCAAACAGGCTGAGCTGATAATGGGGCTTTTTAAAAAATGTAATAAATCCTTTAAGGAGGAAAACTGTCTTAACATCCATATTGAAACCTTAGCATAGGGACTAAAGTGGGAATGCTGAATTCCCTGGGACAAATCACCGTGATGGCTCTGTGTGGCTGCAGCGAGGGAGGCTGTGGCACTGCAGAGAGGTTTGGGAATGCTCCCAGCTCCCCAACATGACTGCCAGAGCAGCTCAGCGTGTAGAGGGTTTTGCTTTTCTATTTGTCATTTCAGTGCTTTTCTATCTGTCCCTTCCCCCTGAATCTGCTTCTCTGCCTATTCAAAAGCGCTTTGAGAGTGTGTATGGGGAGCAGCATGAAAAATGCAGCATTTGCATACTGCTCAGATACAGACAGTATGTGACCATAATTATTAAGTTGTCTCACCCTAAAAACACCGTTACCTGTGTATTTAACTCGCTGTTAATTTGCTCTGGCTTTCTCGTTTGCTCCCCTAGCCAGAGGTACCTGCTGGGCAGCCAGCCGGCTTATTCCAACTGCAGCAACCGAGAGGGCACAAGAGGGGAAGGCGCGTCCTCCCGGCGGAGCTGGGCTCGGTCTTACCTTCAGAATGCAACAAATCTCTGCTTCAAAAAAGCAAACTTTCTCCCCCTGCTAAACGAGCGCTCATCACTTATTATTTTTCCCTCGACCGCGGAGCGCCCTGCCCCGCGATGAGCCACAACCTCCTCCTCCTCCCCCCGCCCCTCCTTCCCTCCCTGCGCTGTCCCACGCCCGCTGCTGTCGGGGAGGGGTTTCCCGCAGCCCGCCCCGCTCGTAGGCTGGCAGCGGCCGGTCCGAGGTTGGGGCCGGCGTTGGGGTGCAGCGGGGCGAGGTGCGGCCCGGCCCTGCCGCTCCGGGACGGGACAGCACAGCCCGGGACGGGACGAGCGCTCACGGCGTCATGGAGCGGCCGCTGCCCCGGGGGCAGGAGGTGGGTGCGGTGCGGTGCGGTGCGGAGCGGAGCGGCGGGCGGCTCGCCCTGCCTTCCTTTTCCTGCCGGTGCAGGGAGGGGAAGGCTTGGGGGTTGCGCTTGGGGCGTTTATTTGCGGGCTCTCCCCGCGCTGTGCAGGGAGCAAACTTCACTCCCGGGAGGTGCCGTCCGCACCGCGGTGCGCGCTAGGGATGCCTCGCTGCTGCTGCTGCTGCTGCGCGCTCCGTAGCTCCGCGCCGGGCGGGGGTCGGGCGGTCGAGGCGGTGCCCCGCGGACACCTGGCACCCCGTGTGCTGCCCCGATGCGCCCGATGGCCGAGACCCGACGGCTTCCCCGCAACGGCCCCGCTCGGCACCCCGGGAGCCTTCTCCACTGCTTGCGCTTTGTCTTTATTTGGCGCGATGCTTCCTTGCTTTGAGAGGTTGCTGCTGGAGATCCGGAGCCCCGAAAGCCTGAGAGCTGCCCTGGGCGGTTGGTTACTTCAGCAGCGATCCCGCAGCGTGCCCGGGGCTGCGTGCCTTGCGTTAGTGGTCGCGTCCTGCCTTGAGGTGAACGTGCGGTGCCTCGAGCGTTGGGTGGATGTTTTGGGCAGACCGCGTTTCCCTACGGTCCTATCCCCGACAGCGGGTACAGCCGTGTTAATGTCACGTTCCTCGGAAGAGGGATGGCACCACAGCGCTGCAACAAGCACTGTTTTGGTATGGTGTTATGTTTCCTAGCTGCTTCCTTTTGCTACTTGGAGGGTGGGAACGCCGTTTCAAGAGTCTTTAATTGCTCAAAAATTAGTCCGTGGCACCTGGCAGCATGAGCTCATGCTGATGGCTCACAGGTGTCAGGACTGCACCTCTGCTCCTGCACTTGGGATGCTCTTGGCAGCCTCAGCCCTGGCCCAGGTTTGGAAACTGCCAGGCTGCCCTTCCTTGTCTTTCAGCTCTGCAGATGGTCCTTCTGTCAAGGTTTAACTTTTCTGCTTGGGTTTCTCACTGAAACACCTGTCTGCACACTTGATTTTGTCTGGATACATAACATCTTCCTTTTTGAGGATTGCTGGAAATGGACATTCAGGCTGTGGTACTGCTATATGGGACCCAATTGAGTGATTTTAGAGGTTTCTGTGCTCAAAAGCTGTTGCTATGACTGGGGGAGTAAGTGTCCCATGAGCTCTTGCAGACCCAGAAGTTTCCTGGGATCAGAACTGCAGTTTCCTTCAGCTGCTGAAGATACAATTAGAGTAAGAAAGAAAGAAAGAAAGAAAGAAAGAAAGAAAACGAAAGCAGGAGGCCTGTGAGCCTCTCTGGTGACTTCACTCTTTCAGGAAGCATCCTGAAATCACATGCCTCAACGAGAAAGTTGCACTTCTTTTCTTAATAGCGATTGTAAGGGCTTGTGTCAGCTTGACATTGTTATCCCCAGTAATTGGTGAAGTGCTCTTTAGACCACAGGTGTGGCTGCAGCAGCAGAAGGATCCCACGTTTTACAGCAGGGCTGTTCTGCGGCAGTGATTCGGGAAACATCTTCGTACATGAAGGAAGTGTGGCTGTGCCTGGCTTAGTTACGAGCTGAACTTGGCTTGGTACACGTATTCTCTCCCTGGATGTGGGTTTAAAGCAAGTTAGCAAATCTCCATGGAAGGAAGTATCAGGAGAACACGCCGCTGGCGCTGCCACCATTTTATTCCCGGAGAATGGCATCATAAAGCAGGTAACAGTCATGGGGGTTTCTACAGGCTTCTGGGTTTGTCCTCCATGAGGGAAACCCTCACTCAAGCCCTCGGTTTGAGTTTCTGTGGGTATTGGTTCAATGGAGTGCCTGATGCAGGAGCACTGGGAGCAGAACACGGCCTCACGTCTTGTTCCAGCTGTGCATGGGATGGCTTGTGTTGTGTCCTGTGCTCTTGGGGCTGTCTGATGGAAGTCACATTTCCATCCTTTTTCCCTCCCCCAAACCCTGCCCGCCCTTCTTTTGTTGTTTCAGTCTGTGGTCAGGTTTTCTCATATGTATCTGTATGTGATTATTTTAACACGTATTTCATCGGGTAGCCTAAAGAGCAGAGGGAGTTGGGGGAAAAAAGAGCTGAGGGGAGGAGGACGAGGAGGAGGAGGATAGCTCTGTTCCTGGTGTTTCTCTCCCAAACAAGCACCGTGCTGCTCTCCCACCCACATGGCACGGGGAGCCCAGAGCAGTGGGAGGCAGCTGGTGCCTGGGGGTAGCGGACACGTGTCCCTTCCCTGCTCTCATGCCTGGGGGAGCAAGAAGAAGGCAGACTCGTGGATTTACAGGTGGGGTTGGTGCCCGATGCTCCCACAGCGAGAGTGAGGACTCAAAATACAGGTTTGTAATGCCAAGATAAGATGGCTATGCCTGGGGAAGTGGTGGAGTCACCGTCCCTGGTGGCTCTGAGAGATATAGTCAGTGGGCGTGGGGTTGGGCTTGAGGAACTTAGAGGTCTTTTCCAATCTTAGTGATCCTATGAAGAAATGATCCAGAGACCAAAGGAGCTGGCTGTGTAAGGAGAAAAGGTGCAGTAAGGAGGCAATGCAGTGCTGGGGCAGGAGTTTAGCAGTAGAGGAAGTGCAGGGCTAGCAGTGTCCCCAGCGGGGATGGAGCGCTCCGGCACGACACGAGGACACAGAGGGCACTATGAGACAGACAATATCCCACAGATCAGCACCGTGACATGCTCTGTCCAAGTCTGTGCAAGTGGATGATTCACATCCAGTTGTTGTTTCTGCTTATCTCGTTGGGCAGGAACTTGCTTTTCTGTGCTCCCTGTGCCTTGGGGCACTCAGGTCACGGACACGCAGGAGGGACACGGCGCGGAGCTGCTTCACCAACACATCTCCCAAAAAGGATCACCCTTTTAAACTGGAATGCTTCTTTCACTTTTCCCCCCCAGCACAGCCCCTGTTGTGAACGTTGGCTCTGCATCGTCTCTTTTATTTGAGTGAGGCACAGTTACATGGCGTGGTTGGCCGCTCTGTGTGAAGCATACAGACGTGTCCATTGCTGTCAAAGGAAGATGGGAGCGACTCAGAGAGCAGGCAGTGCATTCTGTGGCCTTTCAAGGGGAAATATTTTGGTCTCCCATTCCACTTTTATCTAAATGTCTATTCCTGTAGCCCCGATGAGATGCTCTAAAGTGTGTTTTTTCCATGACAGAGGTTCCCAGCAAACTGATATTTTTTGCAGGGGTCCCACCCAGCTGTGAGCCCTCCCTGTGTGGAGTAGCAGTGAGTCACGGTACCTTCAAGAGTCTGTGGTGTGACTGATCCCAAGACATTTTGGCAGCAGTTGTGGCAAATGAGCCGTTTTGTTTGCTGGCAGAAAGCACCAGAGATAGGAGTGCTGTCTGAGCCCTGGCAGGGTGCTTTTTTTCCCCCAAAACACCGAATGTTTTTGTTTCTGCCAAGCAGCCTTTCTTTTCTTTCTTTCTTTCTTTCTTTCTTTTTTTTTTTTAGTGTGCAGAAAGAATATAACTGTCTGCAGAAAACTCTTGGAGAGCATCACTGCTCCGGGAGGCTAGAATGGAAAATATGGGGAGGAATGTGATTAACCTGGGGCTGATGGTGGACAGGTTTCCATCTTGCACTGAGCTTAGAGGGCTCAGCTGGCAGGTTATAACCTTGGGGCTCTGATGGCTTCTAGGAAGGGCCATAAGATGATGGGGGTCTGCGGGCATCCCGTGTGCTGTGCTGGGGGTGGGGCAGGGGGGGAATGAGCTCTGCTGGGGCTCAGCAGTATCTCCCACTGCCTGCACCATCGTGATGGAGAAAAGGAAGGGAGAAAAAGAAATCCAAGGCGTCTGTTTTGTTCTAAGGAAGCTGTTAGTATTGTTGCTGTGTGTAAATGAGCTGTGCTGCATAAATTTGCAGGTATTCAGTTGTATTTAAGCAAGGAACACAGAAGAGGCTTTCTGCTATTCCCTTCCTGCAAGTTCCTTCTTCCTACGTGGCAGTTTTCTGCTGAGTTTGCCTCTTTCTGAGCTTAGTTCCTCAGGTGCTGACCCAAAAGTTGAGCAGGCTGCTGATGTGACCCCCACATAGAACCAAACTGTCCTGCAGCACAGTTTCCTGCGGGCAATGGCCCAACAAAGCACCTTTGGATACTTCCGTGTGTGATTTCCAACAGTGCTGTGAGCAGAGCAAAGCTGTTTGCTGCTCTCTGGGAACCGGAGGACGAGCAGAACTACTGGAGATCGATCCCTTTGCGTTCAGCCACAGAAATGCCATTACACTGAGCCCAGAGCAGCTGCCTTTGCTGTGCCCGGCTCTGGGTGTCTGCTACGTGCAGCTCAGAGTGTTTGCATTCCTCTATTGGGACCCAAACCCTCCTGCAGATGAGGCCCCCCAGATTCCCTGCGGTCTGTCAGACCCAGAATAGCCTCAGGAGATGTATGGGATGTATACGTTTAGATAGTGGAAATATGTCCTGCATTTGTATGACGTGTTTGGCTATATATAAGGGTGCAGAAATGCACACCATTCTGACATGGTGGTCCTGGTCATCTCTGCTCATTGTCACTCTGTGATCCTTTGTGTCATGCTGTCTTCCTGGCAAGCTTTCCAGATGTAGGATTTCTATACAGCTTGTACAGCAAGTGCCAAGAGCTGTGTGTCTGCCAATGCTCCCAAGTGCTGCACCTCTCATCCCTGCCCCAGGGACCCAAACCATGGGCCAGCAGGCAGGTGGCAGCCAGCCTTAGTCACTGATGAGCACCTAATGGTCAGCTTCCTGGTGGAGGTGGTGCTGCCCAAGGTGGGGCACGGGATGTGCATTCCTGTCATTGCCAGCAAAGGCTGAAACACAGCCCCAGCAGTGAGAGCATCCCAGGGGTTGGGAAACTGCTGCGGCTTAGGGCTGGCCCTGAGTGTGTGCATCAGTGTGAGCTCAGCAGTGATGCTCCCCTGCAAACACCACGGTGATGTTTTCCCTTCATGTCACTGCTTAGAGAAGCAAATAAAAGGAGTCCTTGGGAAAGGCCGGGCTCCCAGCCATAGGACAGAGTGCTGAGCAGGGATCTGAGCAGATATCCATGTTACTGATGGAAACTGCCATCCCCTGCTGCTGGGGTTCCCAGCACTGAACGTCCCTGCGGTGTGCTCCTGGCTTGGCAGCAGTCCTTGTGGAGAAGGGCTGCAGAGATCGATAGCGGTGAGGCGAGAGGCTGTGCTGCAGTCATTAGTGCGGGAAGTGCTAATTAGCTCCTGCTTTTAGAGGTAGATAATGCATTTATCAGCAGATAAACGTTAGGAGATTCGCTGTCAGAGAATAATTGTTTTGGAAACAGTGTTTTGAAATATTCTGCTTTTCTTGGGACTGGGCCAAAGGTAAGTAGTGTCAGCTGGGACCATGCCTGAATATACTGTTTTCTGTTGACTTGGATTTGTGTTTCAGTCCTTCTCCAGCTCTGGTTTATATATCCAGGATGGCAGCCATGCCTTATTTCTTGATCAGTGATGTGGGAGAGCATGCAGGCAAACAAAACCAGTGTGTGCCTGTTTTGCTCCGTATGGGGACGTGTTTTGGAGCACAGACGTTCCCAGGTGCTCTGCAGGGCTCCGGCACCTACTGGGGAATTGGGATGGCAGCACTGCTCTGTGCTGGGTGTGGATCCAGGGCTGCCAGCATGCAAACATCTCCTGCAGGGAGCTCCATGGAGGTGTGGTGTGAAGCTGAATTTAAGTTTAAAATATGAGAAATTGGGCAATATTTACATGAAGAACCTTTCATCTCTAGGCAGGGCCAGCAGCTGCTGAGGGCATCATGCGTAGGATTTCCTTGGCACGCAGCCCGGGCTCCTGGTGCCTGCATCTTCTATCCCCACTTTACTGCCCTGCCCCAGTCCGAGCTGAGCTGTGCAGCATTGCACAGGGAGGTGTGCAGGGGCAGAACTGGCTGTGGGACAGAGGCCATTGCACACAGCCCTGCCCCAAGGTCAATGTGCGGGGCTGGGAGGGGGGGTGATGTTGTGAGAACCGAGGTCAGGGCAGTGTTCAGGGATTTGTGTTCCTCACGGCTGGGATGGGAGCTGAGAGAGCATCAGCAGGAAATGCCTGTTTTTATTGGAAGTGCTTTCTCCTTCCCGACTGGGGGCTGTCCCAGTTTCCTAGTTCTGCATGGTGCTCATCAGTGTCTGAGATTGTTGCAGTTCCGCCATGATGGTTGCAAAAGCACAAATCTGGGCTGGCTTCACTTCTAATTAATTTTGTCCTACTCCCCACCTTTCTGTGATTTGCACTACCACTGGATCCTTCATATAATTGCCACCTTCAAGGCTGGCAATACCAGCAAGCTCTGCTGCCCATCCTTAGCCCAGTGCTGCAGCCCTTCTGCTCTGCTGTTGCCAGGGATGTGTTCCCAGCCAGCCTTGTACTCAGCTGGCTGCACATTAACCCATGCAGGTTGCTCAGCTCACCCCTGAGCATGCATGAGGTGTCTGCACACAGGGCTGAGCACAGCCTGATGGAGCAGATTGCAGAGCTGCACCCCGGTGGGCGCTCTGTGCCTTCCATTAGCTCAGCTGCTGCTCAGGCTCCTGGGGCTTTGGCTGGGCTATAGCAAGGCTTATTTCTCCTCTCTAGCCCATAATCTGTCTCTAATCTCTAGGGCAGTTTCTGGCTGCTGGGGCTGACTCAGGTCCAATTGTGCCTGGACTCTGCTCTATCCCAGAGCTGTGCCAACTGTGGAAACAACTTCAGCTTTAAAAAAAAAAAAAATGACAACTAATAATAAAGAAATAAATCCTTAAGTTATGCAGCTGTACTGTGGTCCTCAGCAAATAGGCATGGCCACACTGGTTAATTGTTTATCCATTAACCACCTGGGTCAACTGATGTGAGGAGAGGAGCACGGCTGTACCTGGCACGGCAGGGAGGGGAGGATGCATGCCCAGTTCCATGCACTCCCATCTGCATGGGCTTCCTCCAGCACCAGCTGTGTGGTGTTTGGGTGCTGCCTTCCCACCAGAGTAAATCACAGCATGGCTCCTGCAGGGTGCTCGAGTTGGTTTTTATGCAAACCTCTTCTCTGGGAATGTGCTTTAGGTTTTGGTGGAGCAAGAACATCTCTTCCGTGGATGGATCCATGGACAGAGGAGGTCTGTTGGATGGGTCTGTGTTATTCAGGCAGGCCTACTTGCGTGATTCCTGCAGTGAGCTGGTGCTGTGTCTGGTCCTACAGCATGGGAGCTCACTTGCTGGGAGACAACCCAGTTTTTCCTGATTTTAGTCAAATAGGCGTTTTTTGTTGTGGTGGTTTTACCATAGTTTGGGACTTGTGTGTTATTGGCCTTACATAATAAAATTATGTACTTGTTCCAAGAGAAAACAAAAAAAGAGTGTTCTCTCTGTTAAAATGTTAAATTATTTCCTAATTACAGCATACTCAGCTCATTTTATGGAGCTCACTCACGAACAACTGCAGTGTTCTTTGCAGAACTTAGCATCAGAAGTGTTGCAAATGTTTTTAAAGAACTCATTATTTCACACAACATCAGACCCTCCAGAAGCAGAAATGTACTGGCTTCTTTGAAGTGTTGCCACGCTGTCCTGTCTGTATTTTTTCAGTAGTGCTGCCAGGCTGTGACATTTATTGCTCAGCAGAACAAAGGCCAAGGAGACCTTTTTGGATGCCGGGGGGGTAAGGTGCATGGGGATAAAGGAAGTCTGAATCCTGTATTTAGGCATTGCAGGTGGCAGTAGTGGGGTGAACTCTGTGCCGTGTTGAGATATTGGAGATGGCAGCGATGGGGGTGGTTGGGACGAATGTCATCCCATGTCGATGGAGGTGGCAATGACAGCCCTGTTCCTTCCTCCCCAGCCACCCTTGGCTCCGACGCCCGCTGATCTGAGATGTCCCTGAAGCACGAGGGCCGTGCAGCTGCTTCAGCGCTGAAGAGGATCGCTGCAGACATGAGCAACATCATCGAGAGCCTGGACACCCGCGAGCTGCATGTCGACGGGGAGGAGGTCGACTCAGAGGTGCTGAGTGATCCCAAAGGTGCTGGTGAGTTATCAGTCACCGTGCGTGTGTAAGAGCCCAGTGTCTCTGCAGTGCTGCACTCAGTCCATCTGAGGTGTGCTAACGGGCTGTGTGCTCCTTGCAGCGTGCATCCCCTTCTCTGCCATCTATCACACCCGTGGATTCAAGGAGCCGGGCACGCAGACCTACCTGACGGGATGCCCCGTGCGTGTGCGTGTGCTGGAGGTGGAGCGCTTCACTTCCACCAAGAAGGTCAGAACCCACCTGCCAGGAATGCCGTTCTGTTTCCGTACAGCTTTATTAAAATGCTGTTTGGAGGTGAACTCTGGGTGCTCTCAAGAGGGAAGGTTTCCCGTCTGCTTTAAAACCAAATGCTCCTTAGAACACAACGAGGGCTCTTCGAGTGGCTGCAGGAGGGCTGATCTGTGTTGTCCTCCTGCTCAGGTCCCAAGCCTCAATGTGTACACCATCGAGCTGACCCATGGGGAGTTCACATGGCACGTGAAAAGGAAGTTCAGGCACTTCCAAGAGTTCCACCGGGAGCTGCTGCGCTACAAAGCCTTCGTGCGCATCCCCATCCCCACCAGGAGGTGCGTGTGGTCAGCTTCCTAAATGAGTCTAAAATACCTTTTCTTTCTTTCTTTTTTTTTTTTTTTTTCTCTCCTGCCCACCCATCTCTTTGTGGGTCTGGGGAGTTTTTCTGGGAAAAGCAAAAGCCTTGCATGAGAAGGGTGCTTATACATCGAGGTGTGGTTATGCGTTGGGGTTTGATGCACACACTTAAGCTCAACGCTGGGCTTTGTGATTCCTAACAGCCACACGGTGAGAAGACAATCCATCAAGAGGGGAGAGCCACGGCAGATGCCCAGCCTTCCACACACAGCCGAGAGCACGGTGCGGGAGGAGCATTTCTCCAGCCGCAGGGTAAGTGCTGGCATGCTAAATCCTCCTCCATGCAAGGAGGATGCTGCTGCTCTCTGGGTTCAAAAGAGCAGAGACTCCTTGTGGTTCAGTTAACCCACGATGCCTAGGATGATGGTCCCCCTGCTCCCACCTGCTGCTGTTTATAGATAGAAGAGGCAGCTTACAGGGTCAGGTTGCACGATGAAGGCAGCCCCGCGGCCATCAAAATCCGAGTGATTTCAGTCTGTCCCCATCTGAAAGAGGAGATGGCAGTCAGGCTCTCGATGCTGAAATGGGTAATTTTAGCCAAGGCACACGTGTTCCCTGTAACTTCATCAGATGTGAACAGATGGGCCCCTCCATGAAGCAGGTGGGTGTCTTCCTACCTCTTCACTGCGGCTTTGCCGTTTGCACAAGCAAGCCTGGAAGGGTGTCTTCCTTCACCCCTTCCTTCTCCCCTTCCTGCTGGCTGCTCCCTCCTGTGCTCTGTGCCTCCAGCATTCGAAGAGCTGTGTCCTGTGGCTGTGCTGATAACCCACCCTGCTGCAAACACCTCACTGCTCTGCATGAAGTTTTAGCTTTAAAAGAGAGAGAAGAAGGTTTCCTCAATTCTACCCATCCTACTTTAAAAACTTTTTTGGCTCTTGTTTTCCTTGTTGCAGTCCCACACTTTTTTACCAAGGGGTAAAAAGTCCCTGCTGCACACTTGGGAGTGTCACATGCTAGGATACCAGCACTGCAAAGCGCAGCATTCTGAATGGCATCTGGTTCTTTTTGGTTGGCACTGTGGCACACAGGCACACATGTAAGCTCTTCTTTGCCCAGTTCCCACCAGGGTGGGAAGAGATTTTCTCTCCATTTCTCTGCTGGGATGGGCAGAATGGGTTCTCCCTGGTGGCCTAGGGACAGGGCAGAGTGGTCACCATGCTCCCCACATCACCCCATTGACTTGGCTTAGTGCTGAATAGGCACTCTCGGTTGTGTCTGGGGCTGAATTTTCCTATGAAACCATTACATACAGGCCAGAAGCACCAGGGACTGGTTTTGTGTTTAAAACAGCTCTGAAATTTGCACTCGGGCAAGAAAAAGATCCTTTGAATTGCAGTGCCAAGCAACAGGTCAGCTGGGGGGGGATTTGCAGTGCACAGGAACCAACCTGCAGTCAGGCTGTTGTGCCACTGAGCCCTAATCCCCAGTGAACACAGAACAACACATTTATTTGTCTATTCGAGCAGAAGAGTGTCTGATTTCCTGATTGCTTCCCACTATCAGACAGTTGGATTTCTTATTGTTTTTTTCACGAAAATGCCTGCATCCTTTCTCAAATTTCGATGTTTGAATTGTAGAAACAGCTGGAAGATTACCTGACAAAGATCCTAAAAATGCCCATGTACAGGAATTACCATGGAACGGTGAGTAGGAATTAATGTAATTCAATGGCAACAGGGCATTCTCTTTCTTTTCATGTGTTGAACCTGCTGAAAGAATGCCACTTAATGGCCATTTGGCAGTGGTTTGGGCTCTGCTGATCACTGTAGCATGGGTGGGATATGATGAAAACCAGAGGGAAAGAGTGTGAGGCTGACTGCTGGAGGTCACTGTTGTAACAAGGCAGAAATACTGCCTCAACTTAGGGCGTCTGAAGGAACTCATTCTTCATTTCTTTTTACTAACTTGGGGAGAAGTGCTGCTCTGGAAGTCATTTGCAAGTTTCTAGCTTTGCAGGGACCTCAGGCAGCCATTTGGCACTGGGGCAGAGAGCGGGGCCAGGGCTTTGTGCGGGTTCTTTTGGGGACGAGCAGCAGAGCGATCGCAATCTGCAGATGGAAAACAGTCATCTTTCATTCTCAAGGCAATGTTGGGCTAACTTGGCAATTTTGATCAGCAGCATATGCAGAGCGGGGGAGAGTTATTCTACAGTATTTATCCCTCTTGTCAGATCAGGCATTGCTTGTCGGAATACTTTGCAGGATTTCTGCAAATGTAAAGCTGTGTGTGATGTGACTGGGATAGGGGGATGGGTGGTCCCTGCCTGGGCAGCCATAAGCTGTGCAGGGTGTCCCTCTGTCCCCAGCCACAGAGCCAGATGCCACCATGCACAGAACCTCTCCGGTTGTTGTTGGCTCATGTTGGATTTGGCTGCAGTGAAACATTCACTTTGCTGCTAAGGGCAGCGGTCCTGCGCCGGGAGAAAGCATAGGGAGCAAAATGTTTTCTTTCAACAAAAGAAAACAAAACAAACCCCCACCATTCTCTGTCTCGACGCTAAATTGAAGGTTTCTGGCATTTTCCTTGGAACTGAATTTGTCCTCCTTAGAACAAAATGAGCACTTTGCTCTCTGTGGTTGAGAAGTCTCTGCCCGGAGTCTGGAGAATGCTGCTCCTGTTTGCAGCTCGGAGCACTTTGGCTCTGCAATTCCTGCTATTGAGTCGCCGAGGGTTTCGGGAATTCCTAAATTCTTGGTGAAGTGGAGGGGCGAAGGCAAGCTGTGCCCAGCATGATGTGCAGCTCTTGCTTCTTGTACACTGCCCTTCTAATCTGTGCAATTGGATTAATTCTCACATCTGCTTTCCATGCTGTGTCCTGAAGTTTATGCCATGCTCTGGGAGCATTCTTGCTGCAGGTTGGGTGGCTGTGTTTTGCAGACAAAAAGTTCCCTTCCCTTCCCTTCCCTTCCCTTCCCTTCCCTTCCCTTCCCTTCCCTTCCCTTCCCTTCCCCCCTTTTGGCTCTGTGAATTGTGATTCAACTTCATATCTAATATCCCTTCCCAAAGGCTTTTTGTAGTTCTGAGTAGAAGTGCTTAAAGATAATTACCATTAAAATGAAAGTTGTGGAAATCCACACCTATTTCTGGGAACTGGAAGCTGGAGAAAGATAGCCCACACAGGTTGGGAAACAGGACCTGTGGGTTTCATTGCATTCAGTATAAATATTAAAAAATAATAATAATAATAAAAAAAATTGGGTGTTTACGTTATTTTTTATGTTAACTGCAATAGCTGAGAGTGGGATTAGATGATCTTGGGGGCCTTTTCCAACCTGCGATTCTGTGGAGGATGCCTGAGCTAAAGCAGAAATAGCTTTGATTGAACCAATGCCCCATAATCCTTCCATAGTTTTGGTTATTGGACTTTAGCATGTATGATGTTTTTGGTGTCTGTGTTTTTTCTTTTTCAATTTAGGCTTATGGTAAGCCAATTTTCTGTGTAAGAAATAGCTGTCATCTTGTTGCTGAACAATTTAATTCTGAACAGCGCTGTGATCTCATTTTATTGCTAGTCACAGCTGTTAATTAACTGTTTATGCTTCTTTGGCCCACTAAATTAAAAAAAAACACAAGCATCTAAATGGAAAAAGCGGAGTGGAGCTGCTGAACTCTTTCTGAAATGCAGATACTATAGAAAGTTTGCCATAAATAAATCAGACACTCTCGACGTGGCTGTGACCGTGGCTCGTGCGCCTTGCAGTGGTTCCCCACCTTTCGCTGCTTATCTTTCTGCAGCCGATCGCTTGCGTCTGGGTTTTTGTTTTTATTATTTTGTATCGCTGCAACAATGTCATTGAGTCTGCATTCTCTCAGTTCCTACCTCATACCTCAAATACTCTGCTGCGGACTGCTTGGAAACCGGAGCAGGACCGCTCCCCGCAGGCAGCGCAGGAATCCAGCTGCCCGCCTCCCAGCACCGCTCCGCTGTGTTCTGAGCACCTCTGCTGTAATGCTCTGCAACAGTACAGCTAGCTCACGTGGTAATGGTGGCAATAAACCATCTGATCAGTTATTTTCCATTGTCCTGAGGAATCCTGCTTGGAAGTGATGAGATTAGTTTGCAAAGCAAGCCCCAGTCTTGCTTGTTGCTTTGTGTCAAAGCACATCTGACTGCATGGGTGAAGAGCAAGGAATTTCAATAGAATGAGAGGGAATGGCCTCAAGCTGTGCCAGAGAAGGTTCAGGTTGGATATCAGGGCACGTTCCTTCTCCAAAATAGTGGTGGTGCATTCACACAAACTGTCCAGAGAGTGGTGGAGTCACCCGGAGGTGTTCTGGAGCCCTGAGATGTGGCACTGCGGGACATGGGCAGTTGGCTTGGGGGATGAGTTGGGGTTGGTCTTGGTGCTCGGAGGGGTCTTCTCCAACCACAGTGAATCTATGAATTTAATTTCTCCTCCTGGCTTTTCTTCTCATCCTCCAGGGACTGTTATTTCTCTGCTCACTGCTGATGTTTTCAAAGGGTTTTGACACTTCTGTGCAGCATTGTTTTCACTGTGAATAATGTGAGGGAGACGGCCAGTTTTCTGATCCGTCTGGTGGGAATGCCAGCCACTTTCTGAAGGAGTGGAAATTGGTTTTGAGGCAAGGAACCAGCCTGAAAATTCTGCTTAGGACCTCCTGTAAGAGCTTATGGCATGCCCTGGGCTCTCACACACTCCTTGTCTTGTTTTGCATGTCACTGCAGAAATGGATGGAGAGGTTCACAGCTCACAGCCAGTACTTTCTCAGAGCCGATTTCCCAGTGAGAATACTGATATCAAGATGGGCAGCAAAACCATGAAATAGTTTGTCCTAGTCCCTGTCTGAAACAGGCTAAAATCAGCAGAGAATGAGGGCATAAATTTGGTTCTGCTGAATGGAGGTTGCTTCATGTCCTTGGGCTACTGGGAGAACAACAGATCCTTTGTCCTTCTCCTGACCTTACAGATGGGGTGAGGAGTTTGGGAATGTCCCAGAGAGAACAGCAGGGAGAAAGAAAGATGTTCTGTGTTCCTGCTGCTATCTGGGGCAGTGCTGGGCATGGTAGGGATGGGGCCTGAGTCAGTCCCACTGTGATGCAGGACAAGCTTATGTCTCAGGTTTGCTGATATTCTTTGTTACGCTTCATGTTTTCAAAGCCTTGCAAAGTTTGTGGTTCCACCCATTTACCTCCTCTGTGGAATCAGATTTTGCAAACGAAGGCCCTGAGATGGGTTTGCCAAAGAGCCCCTGGCAGAGAGACCTTGGAGGGCCTCCATGGGTGGTGAGATATCAGTAAGCTTGGGATGCCTGGAGACTTCTGTCCACTGCAGGGCCAGCAGCCAGCAGACAGGCAGGGACGTCCCGCTGTGCCAAGAAAAGCCAGCTCGCTCCAAATCGCAGGGTGTCCTATTTTTAGAGTTGAATGTAGTCATGCTGCGCTTTCTCACCAGCTTTGCTTATCTTTGCATTCCTCTGCTGAATGCGTTCAGCGTTCTCCCTGCCGAAGCAGGAGGAGCCGGGTGGAGGCAGGTGACTCAAATCTGAGGTTTGCTGATGCACGTGGTGGTGGGAGCTGGGGCTCATCCTGGGCCGCACAGATCAGCAGAAGTGGAGAACGTGCTGAACGCTGTTCCATCATACTCTGTTTCACTCTCCTCCTGCCCCACCACACCTTCACTGTGGGTGTTTGGCTCATGGGGGTGGATGAGGCCATGATGTCGTGGAGTGAAGGCTGAGCAAGAGTGTTCTGCTGAGGTCTTGGTTTGAGGAGCTGAGCCCCAAAATGGTGTGTGGTGGTGGTATAGGGGACTGGAAGCCAGTTGGGAGCTTCCAGCCCCAGGGATGAATGCTCATTCTCTTTGCAGCTTTTCTGTGCTCTTCCTGAGGATACTGAAGTTATGGTGGTGATTTTTGCTTAGGCTCCTCTGTAGGTTCTCTCTTGGTGACAGGGTGAAGCAAAACTATTTTGTGTCTTTCCCCAGATGGAGTTCATTGGAGTAAGTCAGCTGTCATTCATCCACGACCTGGGACCAAAGGGCATGTGAGTTGTGAGCTGGTTTTTTTTTTGTTTTTTTTTTTTTTACTTTGTAAGATACAGTTCACCAAGAACGTGGCCTTATAGTGTTCACAATCAGAGTTTTCCTTCCTCACTAACAACTGACTGGGGAATATTTTACCATATGGATATAAAAATGCATCAGTGTTCAGAAAGAAGTGCTACCACTTTGGGAAATAGCCTCAGTGTGGGCTGCTTTGCAAGACGTGGGCTGCAGCTCACCAGCTGGGTTATGGGGTTGCTTTCCTCCCCTCCCTACAACCTGTCTGCCTCCATGTTTGTGAGCCTGTGCTGTGAAACACTGGAAAGCGATGGAGGCAGCATCCCTGGAGGTGTTCCAGAGCTGTGGAGATATGACACTGAGGGGCAGTGGGCTTGGGGGGATGGGTTGCGGTTGGTGCTCTTAGAGGTCTATTCCAACCTTAATGATCCTATGATTGCATGAAATGGGGCCTTTTGTTTTTTAAATCTGCATTGCTTCCTTGGGGAGATGTTTTTGCCCTTCTTCTGAGGGGCAGTGCTGCAGGGCCGTTCAGGCCTGGCTGGAGGTGCCAGGTGCCATCCCTTGGCTGGGCTCCGAAGCAGCATGGAGGGCACTCAGGGTGAGGCCTGCCACCTGTCCTGACCACGTTTGTGTCCTTGCAGGGAAGGGCTGGTGATGAAGCGCTCCGGGGGCCACCGCATACCTGGTCTGAACTGCTGTGGCCAGGGCAGGATGTGCTACCGCTGGTCCAAGAGGTACTGCGGGCTGAGGGGTGGCAGAGCTGAGGGCTCCTCTCCCGTGCTTTGCTGCTCCCCATGCCTGGAGGTTTCCCCATCCCTGGAGGTGCTCAATGCCAGGTTGCTTGGGACCCTGGGCAGCCTGGTCTACTGCCTGTCTTGATGGTTGGGAACCCTGCCTGCAGCATGGGGCTGGAAATAGGTGGTCTTTGAGATCCCTTCCAACCCACGCCATTCTACAATTCGGTGATTCTATGATCTTAAAAGCTGCTGTGTTCTTGTGAAGATGTTCTATTTTTTTATAGTCTTGCCAGTATTACTTCAAACAGTTTTACAGGAGTTATCTATAGTGATTTTACAAGGAGATGACCTTCCAGGTCAAATCATTAAGTGCAGTAATACTGCCAGGGAGGATTTGTTAAAATCCTACAGATGACTGTAGGAAGAAGTTACATTCATGTCTGGCTTCTACAAATAATTTAATGTATTTCACAAATAGAGAATGCATTCTCAAATAAATCCTCTAGATCTTGTTGGATAAAAGGAGGAAAGTACTGAAATAGGCAGTATGCCCCATAATTTATTTTGTCACAGTAGTGTGAAGGTGTAGTTTTGGCTGTTCTTCTCCCCCTTAAATGCTAGGATGGCAGCATGCTCCAAGACTTAGCTTTGCAATCACTTTTCAAAATGTGTTGGAAGCACTGTAAAACCTAACTGCCTATTTCTTACAGCTTTGCAAGTGTTTCGTCACCAGCCTGCACTGCCCATCCTCGTCCTTCTCTCTTGCTACATTTCTCTCTTTTGTCTCTTTGAGACATAATCTGCTTTGCTGCAGGTGTTGGGTTTTCCATACCCCAAATTAGTTTCCTAAGTTATAGCAGGCTGGGGATGTTATGGCCATGGGTCTATGGAAAGGGATATGGAGGATGATTACAGGGTGACACCGTGAAGGTGCGTGGGTCCTCAGGCATGGAGAGCTGCCTGAGGAAATGAGAAGTGCACATACTGGAAACCATACCCAGCAGGGATGCTTGGGAATGGGATTATGGGCCTCTGGGGAGAGGAAGGGAGGGTATTTTGGCACCAAATGAAGGGTGATGCTCAGTGGCGCTGAAAGAAAAGGAAAATAATGGGATTTGGAAGTATCAGGGGAGCCGGGACTGTTACTAAGGGTAGCAGAACTCACATGTTTTTGCGGTGCATTCTGTTGCTGTGTGTGTTTCTGCATTCGCACAAGAATTAGGCGGAGGTCTCGTGACGGAGACCTGTGTGGGACAGAGGGGGCCGGTTACCCCAGCTACACGGCACGGGGAGAAAAATTAGAAATGCCATTCGCAGCAAAAACATATTTTTCTCAGAGTTGCCTTCAGGCTGTGGTATTTATGTAAAACCTGCAGGTCATCTTTCATCATGTGTTTCTAGCAGAGTGCCTGTTGCTTGGCAATAAATGCTGTCCAAAATGCCTTGTTCGTACATTCTGATAGGAGCAAAGTGATGCTAGCTTCAAAAGCAAGGTGAGCCATTAGCACAGCTGCCCAGGGAGTGGGGCAGGGTACTGTCCCTGGAGGTGCTCTAGAGCCATGGGGATGTGGCACTGAGAGACATGGGCAGTGGGCATGGAGAGATGGGCTGGGGTAGGCTTGGGGATCTTGGAGGTCTTTTCCAGCCTTAATGTTTCTGTGATAATTCATTTTGGAGATGTCAGGCAGTTCCAGTATCACTTATAGGTGGGGCATGCAGCCTGAATGGAGATCTGGGTTAAAAGGAGCGCTCCCTTCACCTGGCTGGGATGTTTGTCTCACTGCTTTTGTTATGTGAGATGCTGCCTTTCCAAAGACCTCTATAAAAAGTAGCATTGCAAGTTGCTCTGGAAGTCTTTTATTGGATACAGACTTACAACCTAAGTTCATAAAATGAGCACTTGGGCTTTTCTGCTCTCCTAGCAACTACTTTGGGTTAAATGCTTTCCTTCCCCTGGTGAGCAGTGCACACTTGTTTGGAAAGCCTTCTCATGTTACTGGGATTTTCTGGTGGTTTTTGAGGGATGTAATGCCAAGCTCCTGTGCCCCACAGGTGGCTGGTGGTGAAGGACTCCTTCCTGCTCTACATGAAGCCGGACTCAGGGGCCATTTCCTTCGTCCTGTTGGTGGATAAGGAATTCAGCATCAAGATAGGCCAGAAAGAAACAGAAACGAAGTACGGCTTGCAGATAGACAATCTCTCTAGGTAAGAAATCCAGGCTTAGCTAGACGCTTCTTTTCTTTGCTTTTATTATTTTTAAGGAGTCAGTGGTATCTCTCTTTTTTTATTAGTGTCAGAGCAATGCTGATGTATTCCTTTGCAAACAAAACAACAAAGCAAAGACTCTTGCTGCTCCTTACTTGTGGCATTAATAAAACATGACCAACAGAGGTGCATCTAGCAACGTGCAGACAGGGAGAAGCAGCCCAGCGAAAGCACTGTGCCCTGTGTTTCTCTCTTACAGGTCACTGATTTTGAAGTGCACCAGCTACAGGCATGCCCAGTGGTGGAGGCAGGGAATAGATGAGTTCATTCGGAAACATGGCAAGGACTTCCTCACCGAGCACCGCTTTGGGTCGTACGCGGCCGTGCAGGAGAACACACTGACCAAGTGGTGAGCTGGGGGGATTTGGGGGCTCTGGATGTAAACCCATGGTAGTGCAGGTGCTAATGAGAATGCCTTCCTCTGGCTGCTTCCTCCTCCAGATCTTTCTCCTAGAGCAGCAGCGCTGCAGATTGGTTTTCGTATGCCCCTCTGCTTCCATCCATCAGGTCCTATCTCACAGCTCCTGCTGCTCAAATGGTTTTTGTAAACCCAAGCTAACGTGCTACACCATCCTTTCCTGAGAGCCAAAACAGCTCTCACATCAAGTGAAGCCCAAGGATATGGCGTGTGGTTGGCAGAAGTACCGAGTGGCACTTTGTGATCTCTTCTCATGCTGTTTTGTTAAGCTGCTAATAGCAGCATGGAATTCCTACTATGTGTTGTCCTAATTCTTGAAATAAGGTTTATGCCTTATTTTGAGAAGAGAACATAAGTAATGTTAGCACTGAGCCTGTTGGTCTTTCACTGTGAACTTCTTGTTTGATGAACGGGGAGGAAAAATAAATCAACATACTTTGTTTGGTTTTGCAGGTATGTAAATGCTAAGTGGTACTTTGAAGATGTTGCGAATGCCATGGAAGCTGCTAAAGAAGAAATTTTCATCACAGATTGGTGGTTCGTACTTGCATACTTGGGTTTTGACCAGCTGTCACCCTTGGGGCATTCCTGACAATGCCGCAGTGTTTGGAGGCCATACAGTATGGCAGCTCGCCGTGCTGCCAGATGGTTTGGCAGCACACCCAAACATCGTTGTGTTGGACTCAAAGGCCTTTTCAGGAGGGTTGGCAGCAAAAGCACATGATTGAAATCAACTGCTCAGTTGTCTCCTACCGAGGAGAGGCCTGAAACTGCATGAAGACACCACCTGAATTGCAAAGTGTTTGAGTCGCTTCGTTGGGAGCATAAAATGCTGTACAGCCAAGGGACAGGAGTGTTTGGCAGGGCGTAAGGGACCATGACACTCGGATACCACAGATTTAGGCCATATTCTTCCCGTGTCATCTGCACTGGAGCCTAGGAAGAGGCAGTGGGGACAGGCTGCTCAGCCATCCTCTCCAATGTTGGGCACATCACCTCTGTAAAAGGAGCCTTTTAGTACTTACCTACTGCTGGTAGGAAGTGGAGGGCTTAATTCTAAGGCAGCAATTATTATGAGAAAACTAAATGTAATGTTGGCATTGACAAATGCAAGCCTGCTTCTTGACATGGCCACAGATAAACCCAATGCTCTTGTTGCTCCATGTGCAACACCAGGTAGTAGTGCAAAATGATTGCATTTCAGGCTCTTTGTCTCTTAACATTTTATTCAGCAACAGTCAGTTATTAACAAACTGTGGAACTGCAGAACTTACCTGAAAATTGGAATTAAAGATAAAAAAGCTGTAGTGAGAAGCACGGTTTTAGGATGTAGCAAGGTGCTTTAGTCAAGCACAAGTTCCTCTGTTCTGTATGAAAGTAAAGGACAGAAATTCTGTTGCCTCACTTTGCAGGATTTAGATACAAAAGCTTAACTCTTCCTTGTGACCCTTAAAGCCATGAGTCACTAAAATGCCCCACTGCAGTATCATCTTGCTTTGTCTTAAGGCAGAATGGAAAATTCAGCCCAAATCTGTGCTTCTCATGCTGCCATAAGCTTTGGGAAAACTGAAATCACACTTCCTGATTTCTTTGCTTACTGAACTGATCATTTAGACCAATGCTCTGTTTGCAAGCTACATACGCTGTGTTCTTCTCCCCCTTTATTTCCTTAGGCTGAGCCCAGAAATCTTCATGAAGCGGCCCGTTGTTGAAGGGAATCGCTGGCGGCTGGACTGCATTCTCAAGCGGAAAGCTGTAAGTGAGCTCCAGCTTCTGCCCCTCTGCACGGCAATCCCTATGGCTGCAGGGTCATGGTCACCTTCCCGCGTGGAGGTTGTGGCCACGATGATCTTGGTGCATTGCTGCAAAGAAATGCCATTGGGAAGGGGCTTCAGCATAATGTGTGGCTCAGGATGAGTAGTGTTGTGTAGAAAAAGAGTGCCAACACCAATGGCATGCTGTTCCCCAGAGCTGGGCTGTGGTGTTGAGCTTCTGAAGGAGGAGGTGATAAATGTGACTCAGACGCTCCTGTTTGCATTGCTGTGTTATCCAAGCTAATAAATGCTTGTGTACAGTAAGCAAATGTTTCTATAAGCTGGAGTTCTTGATATGGCTTTCTTTTTTTCTTCTGCTTTCATCCCTTGTGTTCTTCCTGGTGGAGCAGCTGAGACCTGCTGCTGACCTTTGCCTGTCCTGGCACTCCCTCTGAAGACTCCTGTGTGACGCTGTGTGTGCTCGCACTCCTTCCTTTGTACAGAGCTGTGAGATACTGGCAGAAAAAAAGATCAGAGTGAGGGTTGTGTGAGCACAGGCTGCGTTCCCCTTGCCCACACAGCCCGTGGCAATGGCTCTGCTGGAACTGGTGCTTTGCCTCAAGTTAGTCAGGATGGGAGGCACAGCCAGGGAAGTCCTGAGCATCGCTGTGTAAAAGGGCAGGAATCCAGGTGGATGTGCTCAGATTCACTTTGATTCCCTCCCCTCCCAACCCACTCATCTCCACCCTCCTCACCCATGCCACATCCCTAGAACTGTGAGGGTTTTGTGCCTGACTTTGATTGATTTGGATAGACTCATCCTTTTGGCAAATGGAATGTGGCCACAGGGCATTGCTCACTGGAAGAAATTGGCTTGGTTTGCCGTGACGGCATGGATTTTCCTGTGGCTATAAATACCTTGTATAAGTGAGGAGTGTTTCAAGGTCAGCTCCTGGAAATACTTACCTGTCCTCACTTGTGGCATTCCTTGGCTTTGGCAGCTGTGGTCCGGCTGGGGATAAGGCTGGCTGGGATGCATCTGCCGTGCTCCCTTGGAGAGCAAAACATCATCTGCAATTTGGAGACTGCCTAAGTCTGCTCTCAGTAGAGAGAGCTGCTAGCTCCACCAGCAGAAGCAGCTTGCTGGCATTCACTCTGGTGCATCTGCTTTGGGAGAGAGATCTGTATGAATGCACTGCTACTGTCCTGCACGTGCTGCTAACCGTAGGCAAACCTCAGGGAGGTATCCACTGAAATTCCTATGTGTTTCTTTCTGACAGCAACAAGGTGTGCGAATTTTTGTAATACTGTACAAAGAGGTGGAGCTGGCCTTAGGGATCAATAGTGAATATAGCAAGAGGACACTCATGCATCTCCATCCAAACATCAAGGTAATTGCATGCGGGCAGTCATGCAAAGGGCATTTGGCTTCATTTGCTGGTGTTGACCCTCTGTATATTTGGGTGTGAAATAGAAGAGCAGTGGCTCCACGCTGTGTTCACTGTGGACATAATGTATGAAGACATACCCATGCTGTGGTTACCACTTCTGAGCGTGGAAACCTCATTTCTTTAGGTTATAACTGAACGTAAAATTACTTAATTTAGAATTGCCAAAGCAGCTATTCATCTAATCCATATGAAACTTATTTCAGGTGACGAGTTAATGGAGCTACATCAAATGGAAAATTACAGTTTGAGAATGTTGTCTCATCAGCATTTCTATTCCTACATTGATGATGAGAGTCAACACTGGATGTTTACATTGCTGTCATAAATGAACATCATTGCACTGTTATGTGCTGTTACGCTGCTGCTCTGCCACGGAGCAGAAAATGGATTGTGGATTGTGAACCCGTAGCTAAAGCGAGATCCAGTACCTTGAAATTAGAGACATCTGTTTTTTAATAAGTGATAAACAAGCTGCTAAAATGATAGATTTACGATCACTTGATCAGCTGTAGTAGTGAAACACTCATTCCTCTTACCTTAGCAGTGAGAAGGGCTGGTAGATGGAAGATGTCACTGGAAGATGGGCACTGGCTCCTACAGGCTCTGACAGGAAGTCAGCTTTACAGTTCTTCTCTGACATTAAAGATCAAACTGTGTACTGTGTGCTTAGATAGAGAAGTGACTTTGTCATAAACAAATGTCAAGAGAATGTCATAAACAAATGTCAGACAACTTGATGGTTTAAAAAAAACAACAAAACAACTTCCCATTTCTCTTATGTAGCGACAACAACCAAAGAAGTGAGTCAGATCACCAATATGTTGTTTTCTTTTAGATCAAGTTCTTTAGATCCTCATGGGAATGCAGCTATGCTGTTGAAACATGGCCTACCCCAACGGCAGCAAGTCCCTTGCAGTAATCACAGCTCTCTGTGTGGGGTTCTGTCCTCAGGTGATGAGACACCCCGACCACGTGTCCTCCTCCGTGTACCTCTGGGCTCACCATGAGAAGCTCGTCATCGTGGACCAGTCGGTGGCCTTTGTGGGTGGCATCGACTTGGCATACGGCAGGTGGGATGACGATGAGCATCGTCTGACCGACGTGGGCAGCGTGAAGCGAATGGGGGCCATCAAGTCAGCGTCAATGGCCAACCTGGCAGTAAGTGGGCTGAATGGTGGCTGTGTTGGATGTCTGTCTGTTGAGTTTGCAGGAGGGATGAACAAGCGGTGTCCGCTTCACAGCACAGGGTCGGGTACAGGAGGCTGAAGGAGGACTCACAGAATCGTTGAGGTTGGAAAAGACCACTAAGATCATGAAGCCCAACCATGAATAGGAATGGGAAGAAGGATCTGAGCATTAAATGACTCTTTAAAGCTAGGTCCTGTCCAGCCCCTGCTGGGGCATGGAGGTAGGCAGTTGTGTTTTCCTCGAGGTTGGAGTAGCGGTTACAATTTGCAGGCTGTGTTCTTAATAAACTTAGTTACAGGTGTACAGAAGGCACTTGGAGAGAGCTCTGCTCTTCCAGTTGCTCGGGCCCTGAGCACATGCATAGCTTACCAAGTTTTTCTGCTAACCTGGGTCAACATGCATCCTGTTTTAACATGTCACCATGTTTTAGACAGCTCTAAAACAGTGTGAAGAGGTGTCAGTGTGTGACAACTACACGGAGAATAGTAATCCGGAGTAAATTGATTGCTAACTGGTTGCAGAACATACTGCTAGCTATCATCAGTGGATTTTCCTGTAATTAAAGAAGAAAGTGCTCATACATGCAGCCATGTCCTGTGTCTTTCCAGTCTGCAGCAGAGTCGTCTGAACACAGTGCCCTGCAGTCTCAAGCTTCATCCCCAGAAAGCCATTTGTTTCAGAAGAATGCTGATGATATCCCAGACATATCAAAAATGAAAGGGATAGGAAAACCCAGGAAGTTTTCAAGGTTCACTATTTACAAGCATCTCCATAGACACGGCATGCACCATGCTGACAGCGTCAGCAGCATAGACAGTGAATCAAGTAAGTAATGTGCTTCATCCCAGCTGTACCCAAATGACATACATAAGGGCTGTGTGGAGATGGGTGGTGGGTGTGCATGCAGATTCACATAACTGCTGGGGTAACGTGCTCTTTGTAAAGAAGAAGAGTTGATTAATTCCATAACTATCGTAATAATAATTATGTTTAAGCAATATGTAAATCTGTGTTACTGTGAAGTACACAGGAGCAGTTACAAGTGGATTTGCATTTAGTTAATTAGCAATTGTCAGATGACGTGGTGCAGTGGTGCCTAATGTTTATGATTATGTGGGAAAACTTCTGTTCCTGCATGGGAGAACTGAGTCTTCTGTTTTTCAATTTGTATTTGTTACAATAGGTGAAACAATTTCTGAATATGACTTTCCCTTCTCATAGGTTGTGTTACGTAGATTCAAACCAGTTCACTTAAATTGAATCATTTCTGCTTGCTAGAGAGTCTGCTTGACAGCCAGATACTTGAATACAGCTTTTAATTCCCCACACAAAATGTGACTTCCAAGCTAAAGGTACAGGGGTCAGTGTGATGTTCATTCTGGCATGGAGTTCTTCCTGAAATCTCCCAGCAGAGCTTTCTCCTTCCTCTGCCTGGAGCATAGCTGGGCCAATTGCAGTCAGCTCAGGATGTATATTGATGCAGCAAAGGCATCGCAATCTGTTTAGTTTCAAACCAGCTGGGTCTGGAATCGGTTCTTTACATACTGTCACTTGTAGTTTCAGCAGATTAATGTTTCATTTGAACTCCTGTCACATGAAGTGTCACCAGACTGGAGTGGGGAGAAGTGCAGCAGAAGTAGACATGCATTTTTGTCGTAAATAGAGCATTTGACTTCCTGCAGGTTGCTTTAACCCCTTTACGAGTCAATCAAATTTAATTCAGAGTTTAAAGTCCTATCTGGGAATGTTCTTCACCTCCACAGTGAATCCGAAAGGAGTTGGGCAGTTAGGTGCACTGAACTGAACATCTCTGACTGATGGCAAAAGATGCTGTTGAAAGGGCTGTGTAAATGCAGCACCTCATCTGGAGGATGCTGAGTTTTGGTAAAATTGTATCATAAGATAGCATTGTTATTTGGAAAACAAAACAATAAATCAAACCAACAACAACAAATAAAGCAAACCACAATATTTAATGTGGAAACATAAACTTTCAAATCATTTCATTTTAGCTAATAAAGACTAGTTTACATTACAGGAGATACATCCAACTGTAGAGTCAAAATCATAACCCGTCTAGCAGAGAAATTGGATTTAGTACTGTAAGGCACGTTACATGGATGATAAAATTGATGTTCTTTCTTCTAAACGTACCCACTGAAGTCAGTGGGCTCCCACATGGTAATATTTAGGTGAAAAGACAAGCAATTCTGGAGTAATTTTTTAGTCCAGTGTAGCAAGAATTCAGTATTTCATTTCCATAGCAAATTAATGTATACATAAAACCTGTATTGTATAACATATTTAGATAGAGATGAAGAAACACTAACAGAAAGACCAGGTAGAAAACAGCTTCAGCTGAGCAGGACTGCCAAGTCCCACCAATGCTGTTGCATGACACTGAGCCTCTCACCAATGCTGTGCAATGGACAGTCCTGACTTTGGAGCATGTGGTTTTTAAATTTTCTTTGCCCGTGACAGATAAAGGATCCATTCGCAGCTTGAAGACAGGTGTGGGAGAGCTGCTTGGGGAAACCAGGTTCTGGCATGGGAAAGACTATTGCAACTTTGTCTTTAAAGACTGGGTTCAGCTTGACAAACCTTTTGCTGGTAAGTGTCTCTGCTCACTGAAAGCTCTGAAACTGCTTTGGTTTGGCTGTTAGGAAGAAGCAAACGCCTTCTGAATGGCCTTGGGCCAACTCTCCTGCCATGGTCCATGGACCTGTGGGGGCAGTCAGCCTGCACTGCCCTTGGTGCCATGTCACAGTAAGCTTCGTGTGAGGATGAGGATGCTGCAGTTTTTCCTATCTGCCTCCTTAGTCTGAAGAGGTCCAAATGTGCTTTCCTGTCCCATAGACTTCATTGACAGATACACCACCCCTAGGATGCCCTGGCATGACATCTCCTCTGTGGTGCATGGCAAAGCAGCACGCGATGTGGCCCGGCACTTCATCCAGCGCTGGAACTTCACCAAGGTGAGTAGGGAGCAGTGCTGTGGGGGCACAGAGACTGGAGGTGCACACGTGCTTTATCTGCGTGCCCCCCACAAATGTGCTTTCTTATTTTTTGTCTTACATTCTTTGTATTTCAGTCTCCTCAAGGGCTTTTTTTCTTTATTTCCCTGAGGCAGATCATGAAGCCCAAATACCGTTCCCTGTCCTACCCATTCCTGTTGCCAAAATCTCAGCAAACTGCTAATGAGCTGAAGTATCAGGTGCCTGATGCTGTTCATGCCACAGTCCAGGTGAGTGCTATGGTCTTCTAATTGAGTTCTCCTAAGAGCATTTTTCATCTTTCTGGAAGGAAATGTCACTACAAACTCTCTGTAGGACTTAATTTAAGTAGAAGTTTTTCATGTTATGTTTATTGTTCGTAGCACAGCTGATCAATTCCTCAACTGCAATAAAATGATGCGTTAGTTGTTACCTCCAGCTTTGGAGATAAGGGGACTGAGCAGCATACGATACTCAAGTTTTGGGTGCACCACAGCTTTGTATAGTGTGTTGTTTTTTGTTTATTCTGCTGCTCTTTCTCTAATGCCCATCACTTGGGTTTGTGCTCTGGGTAGGCTGGTGGGTTGGTGTTGGACACACAGCGTCTGTTGCTGATATTCTCAGTTATCCCCCCAGCCCTGGAAGTCCTGTTCAGATGGGCAGTGGCCATTTGAAGCCCCATGTTAAGAGCAATCTTGTGACTGTTGCTTTCTGTGTTAAATTTTATGTGTGGGTCTTCATCTTCAGACCTGTGGATCCTCTGCACTGCACGCTCTGCCCTGCACTGCACACTCTGCCCACAGTTTTGTTTCTGACCATCATCCTCATGATGATGCAAAAATGTATTTATTTAAAACACTGTTAGCCATATTTAGCGTATATATTGAATGCAAGTGTTAACCAGCAGAAGCATGGACTTACTAAAGAACACGAAGTCAAAGTAGTTATGCTGAAGCAGCAAGTCAACAGGGTGTCTCTGAGAACAAAAGATGTGTGAAATAAGAGGGATGAGACCCAAACCAGGAAACATCCATGAACTCACTGTTCAAAAGGAGCAGTCCACCCAGATGACAGCAGCGCCTGGGGATGCTTCATGGAGCAAGAAGCATTTGTCTGGGTTTGCGGGCTGCGGGGCATTGTCTGTGCCTGGCCATGTGGTGAGGGGTGGGCAGCATGGGCTGTGTGACAGCCCTGTGTCACGCAGATGGGTTTGGGCTTTTTACGTCAAGTGCCAAAACACTGCTTGTGGCTTGTTGAAAAACGGTCTTGCTCCAGGCACCGCTGTGCTTCTGTGTAGCTGCAAATACCTCCCCAGCTCTGTCGGTGACACTGGCTTATTTGGAAACTCTGCTCTCATGGAGGTGTGGGGGCTTGCTTCCCCAGAGCACACACTAACCATGAGATAAAGCTCAACCTTAAATGATGGGCTTTGCTTAGAAAAGAAAAGGTTAAGCTCTAGTGATTACCAAGCTGGAAGCTGGGTTTGTCTTGTGAATTATTCATTTAAAATACCTCTCTCATTTCTAACTGATGCTCAGTTGCAGCTTTTAGAGCCATGTCAGGGTCCTGATACCAAATTCTTTGCTGAGACACCAGCCAAGCCTGTGTGATTCCACCTCAGTGCTGCTCGGGGACTATGTGAGCAATGTCAGAGCAGGAATCACTGTCTTAGTGTCCCTGGGCATGAAATGATTGTCAAAAATCTGGCTGACATTTTTCTTGTTTCTGAGCTTGTTTGCAAATCTGTCTTCAATTGTGGGCAGATCAGAGACAGAGACAGCACAAAGGGTCCGTGGGGATTGCTGGTCTGAGCCGCTGACCTGTCATCAACACATTCTGACCTCATTGTACTGTCTGGCTTTGCTCTGTTTAGTCAGAGGGGAGCAGAGAGTGCATTTTAGGGAGGGTTTGGAAGAAGGCAGGGTGAGCAGGAGGTGAGCAATGTGTGCATAAGAAGCAAATGTGGAGGTGCAGGCTGGGAGGGAGGAATGCTTGGATCTCAGCTGTAGGGGTGGTCAGGCACAATGCATCCTTCGTCTACTCTCATTTGAACTGTTGGTCTTTGCTTGCCATGGCAATTCAGTTGCACATGGATTTTGCAAGAGTCAGAAAGTCAAAGGCAGTGTTGATTTGTTTCCATTCCAGAGCTGGCTATTATCAGCCAACGACAGCACTACTGAAGACGTGTGGTGAGGCAATATCTGGTCCATGATGTAAATGCAATGAAGATTTAGTGCTCTATCAATGACAAAACCCTCTTTGAAGTCTGCAGGAGGGCCTGCATTGTTCAGGATTTATGCATTAGGTCTTAGCAAGCATAAAATTTATGACTCTTTTGTCAGTGAAAGAAGTCAAAGATGATGAGCCCGAGCACTTCACACTGCTGCTGTCTGTGGGTCTTGTGATAGGAGAGAAAGGGGATGGAGATGCCAGCTCTTGGTGGTGGCGCTGTGGCCTTTTCTCTGTAGCAAAAGAGTTTGGGTTTAAAGCAGTTCATTTACAACACACTGTCAGGACAGGACAGATTGCCTGGGGTGAGATGGAGCTGCATGATGCTGCCCTTCATGAACACAGAAGTCTCCTCCTGCCTGTCCTTATGGCTGTGGAGCCATGCAGTGACTGGTGCTGGCCTCTGAATTGATCCAGGTTGAAAATAACCTACCTTTACTTAGAGGAGGGCCAAGCTGCAGTGCCTACCTCCAAGCCAGTATCTTCCATTGCTGCTTCTTCCCTCCCTCACCTGTGCGTGAGGCTGATGCAAAAGGGGATTTCCACGTAGCCCTCCATCAGCAGAGACACTGCTGGGGGTTGTGGTTATGTCCAGGTGGGTCCCCAAGGACTGGGATGCAGGCTGGGGTGTGGAAGAGCTGGATTCGAGGTTGTGTACAATATCATCTTTTTGAGAGATGCTGTGATGCTGCTCTGAGACACAGCAACAATCCTTTAGCAGTGGGCAGCTTCATGTGCTGTGTGGAGAGGGCAGAGAGGAGGGGGATGATAGGGAAAGGGGCTGCACTCTGGTAAGCTGCGAATCTGGAAGGGGATTGTTGGGTGGTGGGGGTTGTCATTAGCTGGACAGAGAGAAAGAAAATAAATGCACTGGAGGGATTTCCAGGAGAAACGAGGTTGACCCCTGGAAGAGGACAGGTTTGCGCACTTACTGACACACATTTCACAGATCCATCGCATTTTCTTCTTGTCCGGTGTGTCAGTGCACTAATGTGCTGCTACGATGGCTCTTTTGTGATGCTTACAGCTATTGTTTCACTGCTTTTGTCTTGACAGTGTTTAAAGACAGAGGCTAACCAAGAGTAATTTTCCCCAAGCAAGTACCAGCCTGTAATTAAAAGCCACATTTCCACCCAGGAGAATGCTGCTCAGGGCATGCCCTGACTGTTGCTGTGCAGAGGATGTTTCTTATGTGGGTCTGGCTCTTTTGCAGGGAGAGAACGTGCCCTGGGGATCTTGCAGTATCTGCTTTAAAAGTGGATATCCAGAAAAAAAAAGCAAAGAAAGAAGTTTGGGCAGTTGAACTGCTATGAATTTTAAAAGTCATCTCATCTCAAATTCTTATTTTTGCAAGAATTTGGCTGAAGAAATAAATGACCTCAGGTGCACATGACAAGGCTGTGGCCAGCATTATCAGGCTGGCCATGTAATTACATACTGCCCAGCTGTGGGAAAATGCACTGACCCCACTGGAGACCTCAGCTTTACTGGAGAGGTCGCTGATTGGGTGTGCACCCCTAAAGCTTGGAAAGTCAGGTTGTTTTAAAAACAGTTTATTGTAAGAACTTGAGCAAGAATGAGACTTCTGTGCTCCTAAGAATTGGTGTAGAGCTACTCAGCTGGCAGAGTAACAGCAATGGGACAGGGCAGTTTGCATCAAAACACTAGGACTGGAACAGGCTGCCCAGAGAGGTTGTGGATGCCCCGTCCCTGGAAGTGTTCAAGACCAGATTGGATGGGGCCCTGGTCTAGCATTAAATGAGGAGGTTGGTGGCCCTGCATGTGGCAGGGGGGTTGGAGTTTCATGATCCTTGAGGTCCCTTCCAACCCTGGTCATTCTGTGATTCTGTGATTCCTAAGCATTAACACTACTCTTGAGCCTCCTTTTCCCCTATTACAATTATTAAATGCAGTATGAATGGGGAGTGTTGCACTTACTGCCTTTCCTAGTCTAATCCTGAAGGGCAGCAGTGCCTCTCGGACAATGCAGCACTGCTGGGGCAGAGGCAAAGTGTTGTTCTGTGCTACCAGGTGATCCGCTCTGCTGCAGACTGGTCAGCTGGCATCAAGTACCACGAGGAGTCCATCCACACCGCCTATGTCAGCGTGATAGAGAACAGCAAGCACTACATCTACATCGAGGTGAGTGGAAGGAGGGGAGGTATGGTTGGCAGCCATCAGGAGAGCAGTCCTTTAGGAACTGATCTGAAAGAAAGCATGCTCTTTTTTTTTTTTTTTTGCTCATCTCTGGCATTATGTGACAGTAGTTGTGCTCGCTCTTCCCGCAGAACCAGTTTTTTATTAGCTGTGCTGACGACAAAGTTGTCTGGAACAAGATTGGCGATGCGATTGCTCAGAGGATTCTTAAAGCTCACAGGTAACCTCTTCTTAACAAGGCAGTCGGAGTCTGCCAGTTGCATTTATGCAGTGTGGTTCAAAATAATATCGTAATGGACACGACTGTACAGTAGCTCTTCTTTGCAGCGCCTACGTGGTCAGACATCTACGTGCTTTTACAGCTGTGAGACTCTTCAGTGGTTTCTGTGCTACCAGGAAATGGTTTTTTGGACTTACTCTGATGCATGTGCATATTTAATGATGGAACTTGTTTGAAATACTTGCTTCCCAGAGGTCCCACCTTTGTGCATAGGCAGCCAGTCCTGGTCTATAAGGAGGACAAGCTGATGGATGAGAAGGTTAAACTGGGATGCCTGGCTTGTTTAAATCATCTGTAGAGAGGATTGCTTTTAAACTGGGGATGCAAACACATTTTGAGAATTTGACTGCAGGGTTCAGCTATTGATGAAGGCTCTTTGTCCGATAAGTGCTGGAGAATACTTGCAACCCATTGCAAGGGGCTGCAGTTTGTGCTGGGATGGACGCAATCCAGCTGCAAAATGCTCCTTTTACATGAGATGCCTGACGCCATGCTAACTTGAGTTCCACAGGTAGAGGCTTGTTTTTGTTCTGATCCTGGGCATCCTTGCTTAAGGTTGCTCTTTTGGAACTTACCTTGAAGATCTGTGTGTGTCATAATACAAAAGAGCATCCCTCTGTTGCTGGGCCAGAAAGCTTCTTACACTTCCTTTCATGTGCTGTTTTTCCACGTACAGCTATAGAGAAGCACTGATGGAAATTAAATAAACTCAGATCTTTGTCTAAAACTTTATAGCTCTATTTACCTTTTTGAATGGCCAGTGTTCTGCTTGTTCCCTGAGCTTTTCCCATCTTTTCTGGCATTTCAGACTTCTTCAGGCCAGAATGGAGCAGGCATTTCTCATTAGATGTTGAGTTTCTGCCCAACAGCAGAGCCTGCAGAGCTGCTTTGTACCACTTGCAGAGGGGCTTTGGGCTGTGCAAACTTTCACAATGGTGCACACAGTCTGCTAAAAAAAATCTGAGCACAAACTGCTGATGGCAGGTAGAGAAGATCTGAACCTGAAAGTACATTTCATACTTTGCTCCCTTCAAGTTTGTGTAGCGGCCTTGTGGACAGAAACCAAACCAGTCAACACAGGTGAGACCAAGCAGGAAGACTTGCAGGTTGATATTTTCCTCAAATGTGTTGTTGTAGGGAAAACAAGCGTTACCGAGTGTACGTGGTGATCCCACTGCTGCCTGGCTTCGAGGGTGACATCTCGACAGGCGGGGGCAACGCGCTGCAGGCCATCATGCACTTCAACTACAGGTACTGTGTGCTGGGGGTCACCCAAAACTGCACCATGATGAGGCCCCATAGCTTCAGCTGCAGTGCTGTGCTATGAGCAGGGCACACACCACAGAGGAAGGTCCCAGCATCAGAGTGAGTTGGGTTGGAAGGGACCTTACAGCCCACCCAGCCCCAGCTACTGCCATGAGTCTGATATAGGTTGATGACACCTCCCACCAGCTCAGGGTGCCCAAGCCCCATCCGTGGCCTTGAGCACCCCCAGGGATGGGCACCCACAGCTCTCTGGCAGCAGTGCCAGGGCCTCATGTCCCCCTGAGCAAAGAATTTCATCTTAAACATGGACTGGCATAAATTCTTCTTTTTTTTTTTTTTAGGAAATGAGCAGTTATTGATAGTTCTTCCATTGTATGGGAAAATGTGCACACATTTCTTCTGTTTGCATGGGGTATTTAAAAGGCAGCTGTGTTTGCAATTTACCTTGCTTCAGTAAATGCTATTGCCTCGAGCTGCTGTGGCACTCAGACCTCCTTAACTCCTTTTCAGGACCATGTGCCGAGGAGAAAATTCAATCCTGAGCCAGCTGAAGTCAGAAGGTAAGAGCTATATTCCTTTCCTACATGGTCATGAGATGCTGCTGTTGGACAGGTGGATCTGTAAGCTGAAGCTCACATTTTCCAGTTGCATTACGCTTGGGAGAGCTACAGCTGTACAAACCCCAGGCAGTGGGGACAGGCACACCAAAAGCCTTGCTGCAAAACATTAGGCAGCAAGGCCCTATCTGCAGCTCCTGGCTGCACACAGCCCACTTATTGCTGGTGTAGCCAAGGGATCAGGTTTGGGCTGAAGCATCATGAGTGACCTCAGCCTCCGCAGCACCCCAGCAACCCAGAGGTTGTGTGAGCCTTGGCTGCCTTCAGCCTTGCATCTGAATGCAGCCCCGTTCTGGAGGAGGGAAGGACCCCAGGGAGGAGCACAGCACAGTTCCAGCTGCTTACATGTGTTGTAATCATGAGAGGCATCCCAAACACTTGTTAGTTCTGGTGCTCTGCGCAAATCCGCGCTGCAGGCAATGACACTGGGACGTGTTTTCAGAACCATGCATGGGCAAAGCACCTGCTTATTGCCTTTCTGCAGAAAAGCAGGCATGGGGTCTGGTGATTTTAAAGTTCCCATATAAGCTGGGAGTATTTTCATGCTGTGTGAGGGGGATTTGGGTCACCTTTCACCAAAGTGGAATGTCTGAGCAGGCAGCAGAGCAGAGAGCCCACAGGTGGTTTTAATGTCCATTTTTAAATAAACATACTTCCAATCCCTGCCTGTGTGCTTTTGTAGCACAAGATGTTAAAGTAAGCTGTGCTGTTCATATGGGGCTTTACATAAAGAGGTTTTTTTCTGATTTTTCTCAGCCCATTGATTTTGTTTTCTTTTCATTCTCAGTTGGAGATAAGTGGATCAACTACATTTCTTTCTGTGGGCTCCGAACGTATGCAGAGTTGGAAGGAAAACTGGTCACTGAGCTCATCTATGTCCACAGCAAGCTGCTGATTGCCGATGACAACACGGTCATAATCGGTGAGCAGGGATTCTGCCCTTAGCTTCTGCTCTGTGCCCCGTGTGGGCTGTGATGCTGCATGCTTCTCTGTGCTGGGAGTTGTTCCCTATGAAATAGTTTGCTGTTAAAATACAAACAAATATATTCATCGGGAGGATAGGTAGGAGGGAAAAAAGGGTTTGGAAAGCTGTCATTTAATTTGTTTTTTTAAAACAGCTTTAAATCTCTGTGTAGCAGTTATGAGAATCCCGGTGCAGGGAATATTGTCCATCTGTCTTGTATCAGGCTCAGCTCTAGCAGGAGGACTTGTGAGACTTGTCATCTGTTCCTTAAAGAACAGAATGTGCCGTGAAATTTGGACGGTTTGGACAACATGTGTCATTTATCAGCTCTGTTTCCTAGGAGTGGGGAAATAGGTTATAACAAATAAGAGAGAGCATTTCATCTGTCTCTGTTACCATATTTATTATGAGACTGTGAAGCAAAGACAAGAGACCTCAGGCTCTGAATTGCACATTGCAACAGAAGAGCAAAATTGGAGCCTGTTTCTTTAACAAAGCCCTTTCTGATCTGTTATATCAGCAAAGAGAACAGTTCCATAGGAGATTTTACAAGAGTCAAAACTCTCCTTTCCCTCAGAGCAGCAGCTCAGCCCTTGCCTCAGATGGTGAAGTTTGCACTATTTGCCCTCCCATGCTCATGAAGTAGCATTGACCTTTCTCCCCTTTCAAAAATAATCAGGATTAACTAAGTCCAGCCCTCCACCTTCCCAGGAGGGACCGTTCCCTTGGTGCTGTCTTTGTGCTTTATCACTTATGTGCCATTGCCTGTTCCCTCTCAGGCTCTGCCAACATCAATGACCGCAGCATGCTGGGCAAGCGGGACAGCGAAGTAGCCATCATTGTGCAGGACACTGAGACTGTGCCCTCGGTGATGGATGGGGAGGAGTACAGCGCTGGGCGATTCGCACAGTCCCTCCGGCTGCGCTGCTTCAGGTAGGGCATGGGGACCGGCCAGGCTCAGGCTCAAAAGCTGAGAAATCCAACAAGCTGCTGCTGTGTCAGATTGAGCACTGCTGGGCCTGGCTCTAGCCCAGAGTTTGGCTGCTGCTTACCAGAGTTAGTCTTCCTCCTGCCGTCCCTGTTCTCAGCTGGCAGCTTGACTTACAGAGCATTTTGCTCAGGGAATTCTCTAGGAGAGCTTGTAAATAAGACAGTGATGTTTTCTTCTGGATACTGTTTTCACACTGTCTCAATTTTGGGTGGTGGTGTCTCTTTCTGATGAAAGTTTGTTCACTCAGAGCAACCATCTGGCTCACAACATAGTTGGTTTTCGTTAAGACCTCTTTTCCTTTCTTCCCCCCCGTATTTCCCATCTGGACAGCTGCTGCGCAGAAGAAAGGGTAAAAATCAGGCAGCAATAAGGCTGAGGGATTGTGGCAGCAGGAAGGCGTTCTGCCTTTTGGCAAGTCCCAGGGACACTTGGGGACTTGTGTGTTTGGGACAGATGCCTTTCCTGGTGTTTCCAAGAGTGGGAGTGCCAGGATTTGGTTTGAGCAGTCCCTTCCTCTTTTTGTCTCAGGGTTGTCCTCGGCGGCTCCGATCTCAATCCAGACCACCAGGATCCCGTCTGCGAACGGTTCTTTAAGGAGGTGTGGATCTCCACGGCAGCTCGCAATGCCACCATCTTCGATAAGGTGATGCCTTGACCCATTGCAGGTGGGAGGGCTGGGGCAACAGGGTGAGCTCTTGGAGTCGGTCAGATGTTCTGAATGAATGAACGGCATCATTAAAATGCCATAGCTGGGAACAAGAAACTGGAGCATCCTCACACCGCTCCAGTGTCCTTACTTCTAGTTGGCCATCTCCAAGCTGTTTTTTAAACTGCTGCCATCCAGAGGAATATGTGTTCAGTATTTTTATCTTTCTCAGGAAATCCACCTCACTGTATTTCCCCAAGCTGACTTGCCAGTTCTCTCTGTTTCTCTCAGGTGTTTCGATGCCTTCCCAGTGACCAGGTGAATAATTTAGCCCAGCTGCGTGACTTCATCAACAAACCAATATTAGCAAATGATGATCCTGTGAAAGCAGCTGAAGAATTGAAAAAGATTCGTGGGTTTCTGGTACAATTCCCCTTCCGTTTCCTGGAGGAAGAGTACTTGCTTCCCTCTGTTGGAACAAAGGAGTCCATGGTACCCATGGAGGTTTGGACTTAAGAAGATGCAGACTGCTTTACGTTTTAAAGTTCGGTTCCCTGGAGACAAGCTAATGAACAATATGTGATTTCTGAAAGCTGTTCATTGCTAAGGGAGGCAAGAAAGATCTCCACCAAGCTAATGTGCCTTTCTCAAGGATCTTGGTGGAGGAACTTCAAGCAAATCAACACTAGAAAGGAGAGGAGCAAAAAGACTCTGAATTTATGACAAATAAGAAGTTTCAACTCAGAAGGAGTTACTTCTTAAGGCACATTCTGAGCACCTAGAGGATGCATGCCACTTCCTAGGATAGGGAACAAATCCTAACTGCTGTTGTTACTATTGCCAGCTGCGTGCTGTCGTCGCACATGTGCTGTGGTTGTGCTGTGGGAGCCTCCTCAGGCTCTAGGGCACCACATGGTGGCTCAGCAGAGACCCTCACCTCATTTTGGGGACTGTCAGAGCCGTTTGAGCAGCTCTGTCACTGCAGGAAGTGCTGCCCAACCATCACTGCTTGCCAAGCGTGGATGTTGCATCTCTTAGTTGGAAACACACAAACAATCTGTTGTCGGAATCAGTATTTTGGTCTCTTCTCCCCTCTAGAGGAGGAAAAATACTGTTTTTCCTGTGGCTAGAGCAATCAGCATTCCTATGTGCAACATGGTGCTGTGTGGGAGCTGGCAAAGGGCAGCCTCCATGGAGCTGAAGGTGCTGGCAATCGGCAGCTCTCTGGCCTTTACAGAAATACGGCACATCACTGTTTAAAAGGCACGTGAAAGCTTTCTCCAAGTTTTAAACTAGAGCCTTATGTCTCTGGAGCTGAAGGCAGATGAGGCACTGAGTGTGACAGGGAACAGCTACTCGTAAGCTAGCATGAGCCAAGCTGAACACTATGCTCCGCGTACTTCACTCATGCAATTATATCACATTCTATAGGCAGACCTTTCCATTCCTTTTTTGCTCCCTATTTAAGAGAAGGTTGAGGCCACGAAGCCAGAGGTGGAGTGTCAGCAGGCTGTGCTCAGACTGAGCAGGCACATCACTCTGTAGATGGGGTAAATGCAAGGAAAGGGGAGAATTCAGCAAAACCTGTCCTCTGATCATCTTTGTTATTAGACCAGTTTTGATCCTGAGCTCAGTTGTTCAGAATACATCCTTCCAGGAAAAACTCCATTCCCAAGCTATTTTGCATCTCAATGTGCAGTGAAGCAGCAATTGGATCTAACATCCTTGAGTAGTGCAGCTCCTGGGCTAGGACATGGCCTGGTAGGTGCCAGCCCAGTCTCTGTGCCATCCTCTGTCCCACAACAAACTGTGCTTCCTAATTCCATGCCCAGCCCCAGCTGCAGCCTTGGGAGAGGAGCTTCCTGTGTCAAACACTAAAAACATGCTGCAGGAGACACTCAGCTGCAGAGGTGGAAGGCTGAGCTCCTCTTGCACAAGGGCTGGGACTCAGTGAGGTGTGACCCGCGTTGCTCCACATGCCCAAAGCTGCTCAGTCAAAAGATCTGTTTTTTAATTTAGTTCATTAGCAAGTTTCATTTTACTTTTCTTAGCTCTTCCAACAATCTCATCTGTTTTTAACTGGAAAAGAATTACAATGGTCATCCGCCTATTCCCAGCCATGTAGCTGGCATCACTTTCTAGCTGATTGTCTGCTGTCTTCAGAACTATAGATAGGCACCAGGTCACTCTGCACAGCATTGCTTGCACAAGAAGTGAACACCAACATTCCCTGGGCAAATCACATTTCAGCCATGTCCTGCAGTTCTCTCTGCTTTACGCTCTTTTTGTAGGTGGAATTGCGAATTTCTCCGTTCTGTTTGGTGTACTCGTGGTCTGATCAGCCAGGTGGAAGTGCATGTGCAGTAGTTTCATGATAATCTTTGGTCCAAGAGGTTGATGCTTTTGGCCAGCATGCTGCTAGTAGATAATTCTGTTCTCTTGTTTTTTAATCTTGAAAAAAATCAACCTGGGGTCCCGTCCCTCCCCCCCCCGCCTTGCAGAGCCAGAGCAAGGTGCCATGCATCAACTGTTGGCAATCAGAAAAGATCAAAGGTGTCTTGTTATCCTATGTCAGTGCTGGTTCAGAGCTTTTATCTCTTGAGATGTTTTTAGCTGATTTAGTTGGAACAAAGCTGCTAACTTCAAACAATGACAGCCTGTCAGAGCCATTGCAAGTCACAGAGATTGGCAGTCATAGTTGAAAAGGCTCAACCCCCACCGCCCGTATGCATGAACCATGGAGAAATGTAAGGCTGTCATCTTCCAAGTGCTCTTATTGTCCCCATTCTCTTATTAGCAAAGATAGTTATAATCATTAAATTATATTGTCCTTAAGGTGGAAGCAAACCATTAGGGTTTCGTAGCTATTGGTGTTAGTAGAAAACAGCTCTGCACACCTGAGCAGCAATGTACACTCCACTCATCTGCACCATTTCTGGCCATACCTGGGCTCTGTGGCTCTGCTCAGAGACAGCTGGAGCTTTATTTCTTATATTAAGAACCCTGTGAGGTTGATGACCTTGAGATAGTCAATATCTGCAACTGAACAATCACTACTTCTTAGGCCTTAGTACCAGAGCAGTTTGGCTTTCCAGACCTTCCAACTGCAAAGGATTGCTCGCAGATGTACAATACTGTAACACAGGATGTGGGTTCAAGCACTAGCAAGCCTGGAAACATGCACTCTTTCTTGTGACATTTGCTCATTAGAACTGAATGAAAGGGGAGAGGTTTCTCCCAGGCTTAGGCTTTATTTCGCAGCTTAACCAAGAATGACATTTATTATTATTATTATTTTTAATTTATTCCTTAATAGATGCCACTTTGGGAACTCACACTCCTTATCATAGCTTCATGATTTAAAAAAAAAATTCTAATATTTAAAAATGTATGTATATTGTTGTATGGATGTTGGACTGGATGAATGTTTCACAGTAGAATTGGCATATGGTTTAAAAACCTGAGGAATAAGATGCCATCATATGCTAAGAATGTTGCTAACAGTAACGTCAGAGACACCCAGTGCTTTGGTTGCTGGTCTCAGCTTGCAGCTGGGAGGCACAGATCTGTGCTCTGACTTGTCTGCAGCTGGCCATTGTGTTCACAGGCACCAGGCTAGCAAGTCCTCAGTGTGAGTTTTTCCAGGCTGACGGTGATGGTGCACAATGCCGTTGTTCCTTAAATCCACGCACAATCAGACTCGGGCTTGGTGTGCTGTTATCATTACAGTGGAACAGTGCCTTTTTGCACTTGTTGCTAGAACTGCCTGGGGATTTCAGTCTATACCCAGCAGCTGCATCTGTGGTCCATGAGAAGATATCTGGATGGCCTTTTAAATGAATGCTTCTTTCTCCTGCTGAATGTGTGGACACGAGTCTCACTGCCCTGCCCTGGTCCCCCATTGCTGCTGCTGCTCTGCTCTGCCAGCAGAAGGGACGCTGCAGGAGCTGTGGATGTTTAAATGCATGCTTGTGTTTTGTGGCACTCGTTCTGCAAAAGGTCCCCAGGAGGCACTCCCTGCTGCACAGCTGGGGTCCTGCTGGGAGCAGGATGGGAGTGAAACCAGGATCACCGCGCTGTGCCAGTGAATCAAAGTGGAACACACACTGACTACGTCAGACCACTGAATGCAGTGATTCTGTATGGGTTTTTCTTCTTCTATTCCTGCCTGCTTTTTTGTTGTATTTTCATCTCTTTGATTATTCTGTTTTTAACCTCCCGCTGTTCTGTCCTCAGAGTAAATAATTCTGAGGTACTGACTTTTTCCTGACATCCGGGGAAAGAGAAAAACATTGTCAAAAGTCACAATTCCTGGAATGTTTTTTTCTGTATCGTGTCTCTGGCAAAAGCTGTCCCCTATGTGAGAGCTCCCACTGTGGGTTGAGCACAGGTCCCACCCCCCTGCCTCCATGAGCACCCAATATCCCTTCTGTGAAGGCTGCTGGAACCGGTTTGTACCCTTGTTTCTGCTGATTATTACTTTCCTCTCCACTCTGTGTATAGTAAATGAATGTGTATTAAAGGACTGAAAATACAGCGGAGTATGGCGTGCTGAAACACTTAGCTTTGGTCTCGTTCCTGCTTGTTTTGGGGTCTGCAGCCACATCCTGCTCATGGGGTGCAGAGCAGTGGGAAAAGGCCCAGAGCCACCAAAAATAAAAGGGTGGGTCTGAGTCATTGGGGTTTTCCTAGGAGACAGAATTTGCTGAAGTAGAACTGCGCAGTAAGAGAACATTGGACTTCTTGAAATAAACAAACAATCCTGTTTTAACGAGCCCGAGGTATTATGAAAAGTGCTGATAGGAACAGTCCATCTCCACAGCGGCATTAACTTGTGACTCTCTTAACATTCAGTAGAGGAAATTCAGCTCTGGAAGAGCAAAAAGCAGATTGCTGCTGACCTCCAGGGAAAAAAGATGAATAAAGCAGTGGTGTTTCCAAGCAATCCTGCAAACTGAAAACTTTAACTTCTGTTTCTTAGGTTTCTGTATCACGTGTGCAGGCACACAGGTGCTTTTACTGGGCACACGGCTTCATCCCCATCCATTAGCCCATTGAAAATACATATACAAGTGAATAACCAGGTTTCTCCTCCAAAAATCAATCTGTTTTTATTTCTCCGCAATTACCAGCTCTTCAGACGTTTGAGTACATCTCTGTAGCACTGATGCAGTGGAGCGAGGGCTGTAAGAGCCTGAATCCCAACAGCAGTGTGAGTGAAATGCTCAATTTTTTTTTTATTGGAAAAATTAGAAGTGACTGTTTCAAAATTGGTTCCACTGCTCTGATTGATTACTCAGAATATTTCGCTCAAAATGATTATGGCAAGGCTTTCTGCTGAGGCTCGTGGCTGAGATGGAAATTAATTTGGGAGGGGGGGAAAGGGGGAAAGGAAGTTCTTGAAAAAGAAGAAATTATTCTGCAAGGGAAACAGTTTATACCCAGAATCAATGATGAGTGATCTCTTCATATTCAGCCCAATCTTGATAATTAAACACCCTGCAAGCTATTACTGGAGGACAAAGGAGAGGCAGCCAGTGTTATCAGAGCTTTGCAGGTTTGTTATCTGAATTAGTGGTGCCCAGAGGAAGTAGGCGTGTCTGCATGGTGCTTGGAGGCCCTGCTGACACTTTCCCATGCAGAGCCACCCTGAGCCAAGCTGTGTGGTTGGATAAGGGACCGCAGTGCTGGGCTGCAAGTCCTGGGCCAGGAGGAACTGCCAGGGCATGTGATGGTTGTTGCAGGGCTTGGGCACCCACAACTGCGCCAAAACAGGCAGAAAAGTGCTTGCAATTGATACCCTCTTTGCTAGGTTGTCATCCTTATCCTGTTCTCCTCTAGTCCAGAGCACATTAAAGGATTCCAACCAGGCCTCAGCAGAGCTGCAAGCTGCAACCTGCTTGCTGTGTGTCCAAGACACAAATATAACACACACATTTCAGGAGAGGAGTCAGTCTGTTTGCACAACATTTTTTTATTTTGACCTGAAGGATATGTGTGAGATTTGGAATGTCGGTGCTTCCTTATGTTTTAGGATTTCACATCTTAGACTTTCACATTTTAGGCATGCTCCCCTTTCAGGTAGGTAGATGGTTCATGAATCAAATACAAAGCCTTGTAGCCTCAGAAACATGAACTAGGTACTGTGTGTGGAATTGATTAGAGACACACTAATAGCTTGGTGTGGAAAAGTCTTACTTTGGCAACATCAGAAGTGAAGAACTGCCAAAAGGACAGTTATGTACAAGCACAGCAGTCAGAGAGGATGCATGTCCTCCAACATCTCATGCCCTTTGCATAGCACAGCCTAGGAAAATCCCATATGCTCTAGGACTGTACTGCCCAGCACACAATGAGTTGAAGAAAGAGAGCTCAGCGACAGAATTGCATAATACAAATGCAATGCACCTGTTCATTCATTAAGTAAGGAATCTAAGCTGTTCTTCCTTGGGGTCACACTAATGTATGTTTTCAGGGATAGATCACTTTTAGGTAATACTCACTCTCACTCCTCTTGTGTGCCCTGCAGCCCGAGTGATGAGAGCAGGGGATGAAACCTCCTGAAAGGCAAGGCTGGAGAGGGATGGCTTGCAGCGCACTCACGCCCTCCCTGGCAGCCAGGGCTGGGTGCCTGCTATCCTCTAGAGGGTGCTGCGGGCTCACCCAGCCTGAGTCTGGCTCTACCACAGGTGAGCGATGCCGTCTGTCAGCAGCTGTGAGCTGGGGTGGGTCCCACAGCCTGCAAGTCCTGCAGCCGCAGCAGTGCAGAAGGAGGAGGAGGAGAAAGGTGCCCTCAACTCCATCACCTGTGGGCATCCTCCTCCGTGCTCTTGGCTTGCCACCCATCCTCTCCCCAGCACTTGCAGGTCAATGAGCCTATCCTTTTCCCTCTCTCTTTTGCCCTTTTCCCCTGAATGCAGCTGCACCAAGCCATTTTAAATTGAAATACTGCATGTATCTTCCTTGTTTGGGCTTAAATATGTTCACTGCCTAAAATGTGGCTCCCAGGAGGCTGTATTAGCTCTCAAATGGCTCGCTGCAATGCATCTCTCTGCTGTGTTTCCTTGCAGGCCATATCTGTATGACATCAATTGTGCTGGGTAAGAATGCTTACAAACCTATTTCCTGCTGCAGGATGATCACATTATACACAATTACACACTCGAGGAATTTCTCCTGAGATCCAGATGGGTACAGTCTGGAATGGCTGAGGAGCCAGCACGTGTGTGGAATAACGAATCATTCACTCAAGCTGACACGTCAGCGTCAAGCTCTTGGGTTGCACAAGTATGTGTTGCACTGCACTCACTGCTTGTTATCCTAAAAAAGCCTGAATCATCTAAATCATTCCAAATTTGGGTTCAATTCTGTGCACTCTCTGTGCCTTATCATTTCATTATTATTCCTTTTACCAGATCAGAAAGACTTCTGCAGAAATGACTCAAAATGCACCAGCAGCACAGGTCTCCCCAAGCTGAGACATGCTGTTTCAAACAGAAACTTAGTTCAGTAGAATCAAAATCTGTTTGTCACCATCCACGTGGTTCCTGCTCCTTGCAGGGCAGACTGCAAGCAAAGAGCCAGTATTTGCCATCATGATGGGCAGGAATCTTGTGTAGATTTTTTTTTTTTTTAATTTTGTCTGCAGTTGAGTTTCTCTATGAAAGCTGTGTGTTGTAGTGTAGCATGAAGGATGTGTCTCACATATGGAGATGATAAAACTCCCAGTGAGGAGCACAAAGCCCATGGGCCGTGCCAACCTTCTCACTCTTCCAAGGCAGCAGCCCAGTGTATGGCGTGATGTCAAAGGCTTCCACAGGCTTCAGAGACACTTTATTCACTGTTTAATCATTATCTGCCAGCTCAAAATGCTGGAGCATACTTGTTAGCTAAAGATTTCCTTTTAGGGAGCTGGTGGCAGATTATACTGACTGTGCCTAAGCTGTCACCCACATTTCCAGTCTTTTACAGCTGGTAAAACTATGGCAGGAATTCAGAGGAGGTGTGGAGGGAGCAGTCTCCTCGACCACGCAGATCACATCTGCTCCACCTCTGGGTCCTTTGAACTTACCTTTGGTTTCCCTTCTCCTCCCAGTCTAGTCTCAGACAAGTTTTCCTAAGGCTAAGACTTTTGCTTTCTTCCTAAATTAGAACTAAAAGTCACATATAGATGTGTGTTTCCAGGATCTGCAGAAATGTTGACTATGGTGAGATTTGGGATGTAAATGAAGTGAACCAGCTCCATCCCCTCACCATGGTAACACTGAGACAGGCACCCAGAAGAACCCTGCTTTTTGACTAGGCCAGGAGCTTCTCCTTTGGCTTATGATCATAAGCCTGCAAAAATAAGTTAGTGTGGACTTCAGTGGTACAGCCTTCTGGTAGATTTCTAATTTCACCTATTTCCCTGTCCATTTTGTTGATAAAACTGAAGTGAACATTTTCCAATGCTATCTGAATTAGTGCCATTTTCATCCTATAAACTTATATCTTTCTGATGAAATTATTGCTGCTTTTCTTAGTTTTACTGTGTTTAATCTCAATACTGGTATTAGGCTGATGTGCTCATTTTGTTCCCAAATTGCTTGTTGTCCTGCAATGTCAGGACCTGAATCAGTGTAAGCCAAAACTGCTAAAGACAAATGTGGCTGTTTTGCATGCTTGGAAGAAGCTGCTGTCTTACAGTTGTCTTACAGGTTTTTTCATTATTTTTTAATGGGTAATTTTAGGCCAGCAGCATCTCAACTCTTACACTCGCTGATGTTATGGACAGAAAAGAAAGAAAATCAAAGCTGAAAGAGAGCCAGAGCGTTTCAGGAGCCCGAATCCTATTTTCCAAAAGCAGTGTGGGTTTCAGCAGTCTGACAGCCATCAACTTGCAGCCAGACTAGCTCTTAACACTCAGTTTCGCAGAGGAACAGCCTAATTCCCCTTCAACAAACAGCCTGCGTCAGCTACACCACTTGCAGAACTCACACTTTGCTGTGTATGTCATTTAGGTGTGCGATTGCTCATAAATCACTAAGTCCTCCACCTGCCTATGTAGAGAATACTGGATTTTCTGTTGGGATATGTCTCACTTCCTAACTTATTGACTAAAGCACTGAATTCTCCTGCAACATCTAAATAACCTAGAGACATTTTGCAGAGAGGAGCTGTGGGTTGGAGGCATTAACCCTACGGAGGTGTGTGCAGCTTGCTGTTGTCTTAAAGCTTGAGGATCTCACCGTGGGCCCAGCTCACCTACTGACCACCAATCCAGAGACTTCTGCTGCTGCTGTTCACCAGCAAATCCAGCCTGCTGTCTTCCATGCAGCCCCACCGCACAGCACTTTGGCTTCATGTCACATTTGCTGTGTCTCACTCCTGCTCAGCTCTCTGAGTGACAGCCTGATCCCGTGCCCACAGCAGTCACCCAGCACTTTATGGTGGATTTGGTCTGTCCTCCTTCATCAGTCAAGGCATATGCAGGGACTGATCCCTGTTTATTTTATTCATGTATCGGTTGTTTTACAGCAGCACCTTTGACTT